AAATCTCTCTGGTCCCAGACATAGAGTGTGACAAATTTTGCACTCTATGTACTCGTGAACAATATGGGAGTGCCTCAAGTGATTGGTCAACAAAAACGAGGTTTTGAATGATTTTCTACAAACAATGCATTCAAAATTGTCCACATTGTCACTGTGATATACAGATTTGTGTGATTTGAGATTCCTCTCGCGTGAAAATTTCTTACTACAAATTTCACACTCATACAAAACTTGCTTGTTGCACATTTCCGATGTTTTCTTGTGTTGGTACAAGTCTGTTTTGCATAAAAACATTTCACCACAGGTCTTACAGTTGTAGGATTGGTGGGTGGTGAAATGATTTTCCAGATCTGTATGACTGTCAAAAAAGGCAGCACAAACTCGACAGATGAACCCTCTTTTACCACGGTGTTCGTTCAGCAGATCGATGCATTCATAACTAACATTACACACGAGACAAAAAGGTTCGGATTTTTTAACATCTTCTGTACTCATAAAAGGCTTTTTAGGAGAGGCTGTTGATGACTGAGAGTCAGACTCTTCCGAGCTATTATAGTGTTCAGCAATTCTACTGTTATCGGCTTGACTCAAACTATCTGAGAACGACTCATAATTACAACTTTGTAAATTCAAAGTTTCAGATTTCTGCACAATCTTTTTCACTTTTGTTTTAGCTTTTGCAGGTTTCAAAACACATCCATTGTCAGTAACGATTTCATTGGACGAGCTTGGAGTGTGAGTCATCTCTTTAACTTCGTCTTTTAAAACTGCACTCGGCAGCATCGAGTCCATCCCGATATTGACGTTCCTCTCGCCAGGAGCTTCAGCCAAACTACGTTCTGATTTTGAACTTGCACCTCTCCTAACCTACAAAAAAACAGATGTGTATCAGCCTCTCGTTAGTGCGTTGTTAAAGTATTTTCACAATTTATATTTCTGTTTCATATGATATTAGATTATTGGATTGATTTTCATCATTGAATAATACTCTTATTGTATTTGATTTCCCTACAACCTTTTTGCCTTTTATCGGTGCTTAGTTTTCTCTGACTGAATCCTCTTCTTTGGTATCTTCAAATTGAGTTGATGCTCAAACCCATTCATTAATACTTTAGGGAGTTGAATACCCAATGGAGTTCCTCAAGGTTCCATTCTTGGACCTTGTTTATTCTTAATTTATGTTGATTTATGTAATGTTACAAAAATGGATACTTTTAAATATGCAGATGATACTGCTTTAATCTGCACCGAAGAAAAAACATTGGATTTCAAGCAAGACTTAATTACTAATGAGTTTCAACTCCTCGGGTACTGGTTCACAGTAAATGGTCTATCTATGAATGTGTCAAAGACACAACTTTTTCAGTTGCTAATGAGAATAGAGACATTGTTGTAAATTCAAACCAAACATCAATATATTCTTAGAACTCAGTCAATTACCTGGAAATTGATATAGACTGGCAACTAAATTGGCGAAAACACATTAATAAATTAATGAAAGAGACTCAGATCAGCTTAATTTGTTCTTCGGGTAAATTGAGATACTACAACTTTAGACACACAATTAGCAGTATACCACGCTTAATTTATTTTCCATCATGAATTACGGTTTAGCAGTATGCGGTTCTTCTAGTCCTGACAAACAAATGTTTATCCTCCAAAAAAGAGCAGTCAGTCTTGGGCAAAGTTTCTCAAATTACTCACTGTAAGGAGTTTTTCATTTAGTTTTAAATTAAATTCTTACTTTGTATTGTTCTTACATCTTCAAACCGGCTTTAATGGTTAAAAGTGATTTTGATACATTCATGGAAGATCAACATGTGCATCCTCATAACACTAGATTTAAAAACAATATAAACCAGTTCAACTCAGACTTAAAATCTTTTATTTATCTCCTCAATACATGGACCCAAAAATATGTATCAAATTGAAATTACCTTCTTCAATTAGGGACACTGATTCATTCCCTAAATTCAAAAAGGAGTTAAAAACTTTCTTTTGGGGAAGGCCTTTTACTCATTGGAGGAAGATGTTTAGGCTAAGCATATGAACTTTATTCTGATTTTAGCATAGAGACTAGAAAATATTTGAACAATGACGAATCACCTGTCTGAATATGATGTTATGTGATTATTGTAAAATAAATAAATAAATACATCACAATTTGATTCCTCTTACAAAATTCGACAATCGGTACAATATTTGGCTTAATCTATTACTATGGAGAATTTTGTTTTGTGTTGGTTAAGAGTTCACCCCACTGAATATTACACCATAATTTAAGGAATTAAAATTAAATTTTGACCAACCAATATTGCTGTACTTGTGAATTAAAACATGTACAAAACATAGACTAATTCTTGTGAAATTTGGCGAATCAATATATCATTTTATAGAGAAACCACGATATCAAATTGCCCTAGTTATATTGTAACGATATAGAAAATAACTAGACACTATTGGGCTCCCTAGTCCCATTTAGTGTAAAAATCGAGTAGCAATGGTAAAGAACCATCTGCCAAATTCCAAATTGATCAATATCTTGCTTAGGACAAGGGCCCAACTCTTGGATCCGTGGTTGCCTGTCTACAACAAAAGCTATTTTGTTTTTAAGCCTATGAACGAAACAAACTCAAGATGGATAAGATAACCTTTGTAGTTTTTTTGCTACCATGACCAGCTACAAAGTAGACACACATTAAGTTTCTTTATGTTTTACAATAGCTATCCTTGGATAAAGGAGAACACAAAATAATCGCTCGGCCACACAACTAATGTATGAAAGAGGACATTAATATATAATATATATAACTATGTCCGTTTTTCCTTTTCTTTTTGTGATGGACTTGCCCATATACTGATTAGGTGGGAAGAACAACAAAAGCAATTATAACTTCTGGGTAAAGTTTCCTTTAAATTCTAACTCTAATAAACAAACCTCCAAATATTCCAAAAACTTCTTTAAAAACATGATTCCAATAAAATACATACCGACGATAACTTTACCTTGAACATCAGTTGAGCAAAGCAAAAGCCTAATAACGATGGTGTCACAAGATGATAGGGGGGAAGATGAACAGTGCAACAATGAAACTAGAAAACATTCATAATATTCCAGTTCATAGATGGTCTATACTTAAGCAGCCAACACGGTAGATCCACCATACTCGACAACAATATTATTGACTTAAATGAGCGAACTACATCTTATCATGATCTCAAATTTACGCTGTTTCATCTTCAAATTTCGTAGGACTTTTAAAAAGTAATGTTTCAAGCTTGCTATAGTAATTGTTAACTTTTGGAATAGGATAGTTGCATAGGGTTGGGAAACATCTACATTAGGAGAGAAAGTCAACGGCGCTGGTCTTGCTTGCACGTCCGCTGGTTAATAATTTACGGTTAGCTTTTGTAAGTGTTTGTTGGATTATTCATTTCTGTTCATTACCTCATAAGTATTCAAACATTCATTTATTAATTCATTCACCAATAAATAAATATTGTATTTAGTACTTTTGGCACAAGTTGTACTAACAATTTCCAAATAAACCACCATGATACTCCATAGCGTAGAATTTGGTTTATGGTCAAAATTATTTTGATCGTTACATTCTATTCTACTCCGTTTCATTTGTGTTGTCCTCTAAATATTTAGGTCTAATATTTGATTGGATCTAAATTATGTACTAAAACAACTTCTTGGATCGAAACTGTCTTCAATACAGAAAGAATATGATAACCTAAATATTTAATTGACACATAAACATACCCTCCGAAAACAATAAATAAAATCTAATGTTGTGTATATTAAAACAAACACTAAACTATTTTTGGAACTGGGGTGTATAAATTAAAATTATTTTGAAAATCCAAAAGAGTGCATTGTTTATTGTAGCTCCAATATTCCTATATATTTTTCATAGCTTTGTATGAAAAACATTTCCACAATAAAAAGCTTCATTATAATGACGGTTATACGCATATGAACGGATAGCCTTTCAAAACACTTACAAAACACAGCTTTTTTTCATTGTTCATTTCAAATTATTGTCTTATGGGAAAGGAGGTTTTTATGGTACTCCATAATTGTATAATTATTTTAAAAATACAGAGATAAAATCTGGCAACATACTTATAAAAAAAAGCCATTGTAACTAATTTTTTTATGTTTTATATCAGAATATCAACAATCAGAACTGCCAAAAATAAAGTATAATGCAATAAAACAAGCAATATTTAAATTTGTAAAAATTAATAATAATAAAGAACCCGAATATTAAAGGCATACACTATTCTGTTAACCACATGTTATTTTTTTGTGAAAACTATTTTCATCGTCATTTGCAAATTTGAACCAAATTTCATTCTCTGTATTTGAATCACCAACGGAAGGTCATTTTGCCAATAACTGTATTTTTCAAAATTAATATTTTTAGTTTCTGGGACTTTAAAGGAACAAATAGTTTTGGAATTTTTAGTCACTATTTTTTTTATGAAGGGTTTGGTTTTGAGGGAATAAATCCATCCTCACTCATTATACTAGTTGCTTTTAATCTAATTTACGAATTTCATAATATTTTACAGATCATAATTCAATGATGTCTAAAAGTATATATTTTGAGTAAATTCGTTTCTAGTCACAAAGCTGGCACACGAGAACCTTTAATAAAAACAATATTTTAATATTTTAAGTCAAATCTGAGATTAAATCAAGTTTTATTTACACACCCCAGTTAGAATTCCGTCAAGTCAATCCAAGAATTACAAAAACAGAGATTAGTCAATGTATAAATACATGTTAAAATTAATCTTTACTCTTTATAGTGTTGTTTTTTTCACTTTGTCAATACTTTACCAAAAGCTGAGATAGAAATCCAAATTCTTTGATATAGGTAGTCTTTTTTACTTTGAAAATAGTATTATTGATTTGATAAACAACTTTGACAATCTCTGGTTTAGTAATTTTGAATTCCAGCGTAGATTAAAAAATGGAAACTTACCGATGAAGAAGGTCCAAAGGGATCAGGTTGATTACAATCAATATCCATTATATCAACCTCGCTTTCTTGCTTCATACATGCCTGAAAAAAACCATTGATTTACAAGAGGCTTAAGGAGCAATACATTTTGTACATAGCTAAATATAACATTATATAACAATAATATTTCGTCCTCAATGGATTTCTTCAAATGGTTTTTTTATACATTTTATCTCTAAAGAAATCTTGCTATACTGGGACGAGTTTTCAAGTGGTCTTTTTGTACTACGGTAAAAGCTCTGTAATCCGGCACTTTCAATAATCTGGCATCAGTCTAAACGTTTAACAAGTTTTCGTAATGCTGTTTTAAGCCATATTAACAAGTTCGACAGTCAAAAGCCATCAGCAGATGTCGATAGGAAAAAAATAATCTGGTAGCGATTGGCAAAAGCTTTAAAATTCATATTGTGTTCATTGGTGCTCTAAGTATGTTGTTTGACCATGTTGAGCAATTGAGAAGTTTTAATTCCTGATGGATGATGACTTTGAAGAAACTTATCGAGTCATTCACAACAAAGAAATTTAATATGTGTGTTTTATCCAGAACTATTTATTTAAAACCAATAAAGGCAGCTGGGTCCAGTTTTAAATTGTCACAAAGCTACTGACATTACTAAGGACCTCCAGTAGTTTGGCTCTTCTACCCGACCGATTTTCATAATGTTGGTCTTAAATAAAAGGTATGCACGTACAGATTTGCCATTAAGCATCATAATTCATTTATCTACAGTATTAGTAAAAAAAAAGATTTTGTTTTCCTTACTTTAATTAAAGATGTGTTTCGCCAGTTCTAAACATTATCCTATATGATTTGGTCTAAGAACCTTTAGTAAAATACCAGCTTTTATTTGAGATTTATTATTAAGATCAGAAGTACCTGGAGCACGCAGCTGAATCAGGAACCAACAATAATTATAATTATTTAAGGACTTACCTTTTTAATAATTATTTAAGTTCGAATGATATGCAACTTCATTTTTATTTGAGTTATTTAATATGTCTTGATCTGTAATATAAATACTCCTAGAAATCAAGGATTTCATTTGAGATATTGTTTGTATTACTAACAACCCAAATCTACAAAAAATTTAGTTATTTATCATCAATTGATAGTTTGAATTTATTTTGCTTGAAACCTTAACGGTAACAGTCGATTTCAAAGGGATTCACGTAGTTAAAACATTGGAATTAAACGGTAGTACAATCTACTTTTAAAAATCATCCAGAAAAATTTACCATTTTTCCATTTTGTACCATTTTTCCAATAATAATATATGAAAATATTTTTTTTAAATGTTATCTCGAGTTGAGAAAATCCCGAATCAAATGGCCTCGATGATCGGGGATATATTTTTACCAAAGATTTCCTGAGACTTCGGGACCCGTCCATCTCTAGTGTAATAAAATAAAATGTTTGTTAGTTAAACTTAAATTTGTTGCCCTCCATCTACGTATTGTGATATTAAAAGTATACTCACAAATTGATCCACGGACACTTCTTCAATTTTTGGCAGCGTTATTTGTGGCTGTTTGACCATAAGGTCTGTGTGGGCCTGGAATAAAAATAACAGTGTTATCAGGTATACAAATACAGAAAAATAATATTACAGGTTAATGATACAAATAGACAGTGCACCAAAATTGTGTACAAAAATTATGAAAGCATTGCCAGCTAAAATATTATGTAAATAATATAGGTACCTAGTGATTTTTAATAACTAGGACCTAAAGTTATGAAAACCAGTTGCTCTGCTCGTGCTTCGCTACGGGGTGAGAGTAATAATGCGATTTTTTATATCTAATATAAGTATCTGTTACCCCACACTTACACCCGGGATTAGAGGCAAAGCTTATTTGTACTTAATGCTTAAAATTCACACACAATTCCCCGATTTCCCGGAATTCCCGGTCACTGACAACCCTTTTTTTTAATGAATTTGAGACAGCTGATAATGAGATTGTTTTGTGAGCCAATGAGAGTACCGTATTTAGTACTACGATTCGTTTCCACTTGTCAGTTCTGCAGCAAAGTGCAGTTTAACATTGAATATGATTGATAACTGTTCCTTCTATACAATAGTTGTATGGAAAGTACAGTAGTGTAATGTGTGTACTTTAATAAAGAACAAAATATATTGTGCTAACACTTTGTAACGATGTATTCTACACCCGTTACAGTTTTACGTTTCCGAAGGTCGGTACGTCAAATCAGGAACGTACAGTAGTACCAGACACTCGCGCTCTCTATCTCTCCTCGGCGCTCTCACTCTAATGCACAACCAAACTCTGTCCTTACCGCCAGAGTAGGGACGACAGGAGAGGTAGGGGATTCGCGCATGCACACTGGCCACGGTCTGGACGAGGTCCACTGCAGTGGTTTGTAGTTTTATTCGACTCAATACCTCCGAACCGTGCAGTCGTCTCGAGCACGGTAACCTCGCTGGCTTAATAACGGAGCCATAAACCATCTCTGATCTCACGGTAGGCCTAATTAACTAGCACTGAGTGTGACTTTTGCTTTGGTTTCCATTCGAAGCTTCGATTCCTAGTATCGTTTTGTTGCCGCTGAGACAACCTGGGTGTATTTTATTGTGTGTTGTTTAACGTTGATATTTTATTTTTATTAAATCGTTCAATCCCAGTATCGTTTTTGCCGCTGAGGCAGCCTGGGAGTATTTTCTTTTGTGTGTTGTTTAACGTTGATATTATTAACTATTAACTCGTTCAATCCCAGAATCGTTTTGTTTTGTGTTGTTTCACGTCCATATTTTTATTTTATTAACTCGTTCCCTCCCAGTATTGTTTTGTTGCTGCTGAAGCAACCTGGGTGTGTTTTGTTGTGTGTTGTTTAACGTTGATATTATTAACTATTAACTCGTTCCATCCCAGTACCGTTTTGTTGCAGCTGAGGCAACCTGGGTGTATTTTGTTGTGTGTTGTTTAACGTTAATATTATTATTTTTATAACTAGTTCAAACCCAGTATCGTTTTGTTGCTGCTGAAGCAACCTGGGTGTGTTTTGTTGTGTGTTGTTTAACGTCGATATTTTTATTTTATTAACTCGTTCCATCCCAGTATCGTTTTGTTGCCGCTGAGGCAACCTGGGTGTATTTTATTGTGTGTTGTTTAACGTCCATATTTTATTTTATTAAATCCTTAAATCCCAGTATCGTTTTGTTGCTGCTGAAGCAACCTGGGTGTATTTTGTTTTGTGTGGTGTTTAACATTGATATTATTAACTATTAACTCTAGTGATGTAAAATACCCAGGTATTTAAAACTCAGGGTACCCTGGGTATTTACCCGGGTAAATACCCAAAATCCATAAATACCCGGGTATTTTGGTTATTTATGAAATCAATTGAAATTCATTTTATCCACCCCTAAATATGTTATTGTTATCATTACATGATAAATTAGGATAGTCTATAACACCTTTTACAGTAACTTGAAGCTTTGCTAGTACCTTTTATTTAAAGATTTAGCACTTTTTTTATGAAATCAAGACAACACCTCATCAAAAAATAGTGAACCTAAACCTACTTCTACTGTTATTAAATTATGATAGTTAACAAAATTTGTATTTTGTTAAATGGCTTGGAAGGCTAGACAGACCCAAGGCCTGATTGATATAGGCAGAATGGCAGAATACTGAAAGTACAGTAGACTCCCTCTTATCCAGACTCCTCGGGACCGAGGCTAGTCCAGATAACGGTTTTTCTGGTTAAACCGACGTCCCCAAAAACTTGTTAAAACGGAAACCGTGTACCGGTACTGTCCTATTCGACTTTAATTTAGGAGAGCATTGTATTTAGATACGTGATCACTGGTCTCAAATCTTTCCCACGAGAACAGTCGTTTCAGTACCGCTCACTTCTTGCCAATCTAGTCAGGTTAAACCAATGGGCTGGTAAAAATTGTCCAGTTAAAAGGTGTCTGGATAAGAGGGAGTCTACATTAAACTCTTCTGTGTTACCGCTTAGTTGGGAACAATAATATATTTGGATAAACCTACTAAAAAATTTATCTCCTGTTTTTTGGTCTAACTTTGATATATCTTTTTGAAAGATTTATTGTGCTATAGATTCAAATTTGTTGTATCACAAGTTTATGAAATTAGTTTTATTTTTATTTTGATACCAACAAAAGATCTAGAACAAAAATATTATTAAATCCTGCCATCCTACAGTTTGAATTTTAATTATTTTCTTAAGTTGTTTACACATAGGCCACTACTAGGTTAAATTTTCCTGTCTTTCTAAATAATAATTATTATTTTACAAATTATTTTTCTTCACTTTAAATAAAATAAATTCATCTATCTATCATAGAAATTAAAAAATCATAAGTAGTCAGGACCAGTGCAACCATGCGACAAGGGTATTTATGCCGATTATGCTTTATGCTCAGACCTGGGTATTTATGGTGATCATACCGAGAAGTAAAATGCTAGTAGTGACCATATTAAATTTTGTTTAACACATTTTATTATCATTTTGCTATCTTTACAAGGTAATAATTGCAAAAAAACATCTCAATCTTCTCTAACTTTAATACAAATGATAAATACCCAGTTTTTGGGTATTTACCCGGGCCTGGGGTAAATACCCAGGTAAATACCCAATTTATATTTACCTACCCACTGGGTATTTACCCGGCCCACATCACTAATTAACTCATTTCCTCCCAGTATCGTTTTGTTGCTGCTGAAGCAACCTGGATGTATTTTGTTTTGTGCGTTGTTTAGCGATAATATTATTATTTTATTAACTCGTTTCCTCCCAGTATCGTTTTGTTGCTGCTGAAGCAACCTGGGTGTATTTTATTGTGTGTTGTTTAACGTTGTTATTATTTTATTAACTCGTTACATTCCAGTATCGTTTTGTTGCTGCTGAATTAACCTGGATGTATTGTATTGTGTGTTGTTTAACGCCGATTTTATTAACTATTAACTCGTTTCCTCCCAGTATCATTTTGTTTTGTGTTGTGTTTAACGTCCATATTTTTATTTTATTAACTCGTTACATCCCAGTATCGTTTTGTTGCTGCTGAAACAACCTGGGTGTATTGTGTTTTGTGAGTTGTTTAACGCCGATATTATTAACTATTAACTCGTTCCATCCCAGTATCGTTTTGTTGGTGCTGAGGCAATTTGGGTGTGTTTTATTGTGTGTTGTTTAACGTCGATATTTTTATTTTATTAACTCGTTCCATCCCAGTATCGTTTTGTTGCCGCTGAGGCAACCTGGGTGTATTTTATTGTGTGTTGTTTAACGTCGATATTTTATTGTATTAACTCTTTCAATCCCAGTATCGTTTTGTTGCTGCTGAAGCAACCTGGGCTTTCGTGTTAATAATGTTTGTATTTAGTGTTTTATGAGTAGGTCCTTCAATACTTAGAATCGTTTTGTTACCGAATGAAAAGCATTGGTCTCTAATTAGACAAATATCTACCCCGTATTATTTCGACAGGATACAGACAATCCAGTAAATATTCTAAATTCACCCATGGCCGAACCTAAATTTCGTGTACCGAACATTTTGTAAGTAAACACGTCCCTTCCAGTATTCGTGTGTTGCTGTATAAGGCAACCTGGAAGAGCTCAATTGGCAATCTAAAACAGTGACAATGATGATAGTGAGATATTACCGAAATTAGGTATCTTGTCCGAGTCACTCAAAATTATTTTCGTATCTGCGATGACGAACCCTGGCATCCACTGAGCCATCCGAAAACCTAAATTAATATGTTGACTATTTTTCAATAAACCGAAAAACACGTCACAACTTTAATCTATAATTTATTCTTTTGATTGAGGTGATTGAGCTAGTTTACTGGAGAGTACAAGTGTTATTGAGGGCCGAGTATTCAAGGGACTACAGTATATAACCATCTAATACTTTCATAAATAGAAAATAGATTCTAGCTCAATAAGTTGACACATTTCAAAGGAATTTCCCTAAAGGGATTTAAATTTTCAAACAGGCATTTGGAGATGAAGAGCATATGATTAGTCTGTAATCAAACTTACAATAGGATCCTCAGCCATTTCAACAGCTTTCTCGTTTTCTTGAACAACTTGAACGTGGTTCTGAAAATAAAATTAGAAACAATATAGTCCAAATAATATATTTGTCATTATACTACACAATACTCTGTAGCCTTATTTAATGAGTTTATAAGCCTCTACTATGTACTTTCAGACATGATGGCTAAATTATACTCCATAATCAGTTATATATCTCGACCTTGAAATACTAACAATGAAGTAGGCCTATACTACTCATTGTACCTAGATTTGTGATCTTCGGGCGTCAACTGTGTCCAAATCAACGAAAACATTATTCTTTACACTTCTGTAAAACGTCAGCCCCACCAAACGTTTCTATTATGTCCAATTCCCAACCACTCAGATATACCATGCGACCTTGCCCAGCCAACACTAGATTTGTCAACTGTGCGGAAGTAAAGTAACCCTGGGCATGGCGCTCTGCATTGAGCCCATTGGTGAAGTAAATAGCGTTTTGTCGAGGTTGACACATGGCCATTGCCCGAAGACCACAGTTCTAAGATAAGTGTCTGTGGAAGCCTATTCAAGATAATGCTTCTCGTTGTAAACTGATACAATAATATTAGTACATTGTGGATAGTAGCCTCCGGATTGTCAAATAATATTAAACAGGTTTAAATAGGTAAGTTTAAATACCTGCTATCAAGCGATCCATTTTATTTTAAGTCCAAACTTACTGAGTCAGAGGTCTGGACTTAAACTCCGCCGGGTTAGCGTCGTCTGTTGTCGTATAACTGATCAGTAAATGTTACGTGTCCGTAACGTGTTTTGTGTCGTGTGTAAATTTTTATTTATTTTTACGTGTTAAATATGACGCTCTTCATGTGAAGAAAGAAGAAGTCCTTGTACCGCCTGATGATAACACCACATAGGAGTCTAAACTAGTTGTGACTGCAATTAATGGATTGCTTGATAGGAGGTATTTAAACCTTTTTAATAATATTAGCATTTTGGTGTCAATGCTTACCAGTGGATCAGGTGTGGCCTCTTCAGTTTCTTCGCTTATCCTCTGGGAGTCTTCAGGTTCCTAAAAAACAAAAACAAAGAGATACAGATGTTTGGATATTGAAACTAATGATTTAGGCTGAAGTAGACCAATAGCTCAAAAGTCAATAACAATGCTAAGGAATCTTGCAGGACATTAGCCACAAGGATGTTTCTGTCTCAATGATGAAATGATTGAATGTTTGCTTCTTTGGTTCTGTAAGGTTAAACTTAAAATCTAGTAAAGAAGTAACTGTATGTAAAAAACAATTTCTATTGGATATGAGTTAATGCCCAAAACACCTACTTTGTTTGAGGAATTTGGTTATGCCTTTGGTTGTTAACAAAAGTCACCTAAACCAACTTGATATAATTTCACTTGCCGCTTTATCCATAGCCTTAAAAATAACACATTTTTATGTAGCCCTGTTTCAATAGTAGAGATGTTATTAATGTATCCTAGGGTCAAGTATTGTCCTGTAGTTTACTAATTCTCCTCACATAACCTTATTGCGTGGTTGATGATTCAAACTTTTAAAATCAAACTTCCAATCTTAAGGCGATTTGTGCAAAAAGCTTAACATTTATTTACATGTAATGTTTCCTACAACTTCCACTTACATGTTCATTCTCTTCGTCCATACAAACAGAGTGTGTGTCATCTTCATTATCAGAACTATCCTCGTTAATGTAATTTTCCTCTTTGATTTTGTGTTCTTCTAAGTCAACCTGAAACATAGAGAACATTGAGCAAGTTCACTAACCATTGAACCATTGATTGATGGGAACAGAGTTTGTAATGTCAAAAATTTTAATGTCAGAAATTTCTTATAAATCAAAAACACTGTCATAGGTGTTCAGGAGGAAAGTTTTTAACAATTTTACTAAACCTTGCGCTTGATTTAACTACAAAAACTCAAGTTTAAAAGCACTAGGGGTAAAAAAGTATGTTTCATATGTTAACAAGTTTTTAGTAAATTGTGTGTGGTATTGTATTATCCTGTGATTGTATATAAATTCCTATATAGGAACTAAACTCGTATCAAAAATACTTCTTTTATTACATGGTGGGATGGCCTCTGGATCATCTGAATTAACTATATAGTGGTTTAAATTACCTTGTTACTGTCAAAACGATCCTTTGTAGTTAGTAAGACTACAGCTGTTTCATGCTTCGAATGGAGCACATCATCAGGTCAGAACTTGATGAGAGCAGGTGAGAGCACCTGATGATGTGCTCCATTTGAAGCATGAAACAGCTGTAGTCTTACTAACTACAAAGGATCGTTTTGACAGTAACAAGGTAATTTAAACCACTATATAGTTCTTTTATTATTTTAGCGTTTGTTTTATTTATTTACAACGTAAGAAATATGCCAGATTAAAAGAGATTAATGTGTTGGTACTTACAAATAATTTAACTATGTATTGGGTAAAACAGAGTCACTAAAATTACACTAATTTTCATACACAATACCTGAGCAAATTTGAGGCCTAAGCACTTTCGAAATTTCTTATCCGCAACTTGCACTTTAAGTCGAAACTCGTAGCACTTTTCAAGTTCTTTTTCACATTCTGCACAAATATTTTCAGGCAAACCATCTTCTTTCTCAACCTAAAAAAATTAAAATGGAACTGAAATCATGGTTTAGGCCTATAACAAAACATGAGTGTAAATATGTGTAAACCAAGCTGTTCTCCTAACTTCTTACTATGCAATTTTTATATTTGATACTGTTATAAGGAGTGCTATTATGGGGAGAAAAGCACCATCTTCGTCCTCAGCATTCAAATGGTAGAAGAAGGCTGTAAGATTAATAAATAGTCTGGAAAGTTTACTCAAACTTGTAAACAATTAAAAATAATGATAATAGGCCTACCATCTATTTTTATAATCAAGTTACATAAACTTTTTGCATGTAAATTAAAACCAACTCTCTTTTATGGACGGATCTTCAATACATAATACCTGTGATAACCAGAATCTAAATTTACCTCAAGTTAGGCTTAATAGATCAATTTAATAGCCATCATTACAAGAAGATTAATTTTTTCAATAAACTCCAACCTTGTTGAGAGCTTCAAAATTCACCTCACTTTAAAGAGAACTCTTAAAAGATTTTTCCAAGACAATATTTTTTACTCCCCCAAAGAATTCATGAGATTTGCTTTCCAGCTATACTTAGAAATCAGATACATTTTAGCGAATTTCCCATATAAGGAATAAGCTATTACTGTAGTACCACAGAAAACGTACTACTATAACCCAGAATGCCAACCGCATGGTAAAAAGCATTAAGCGTTTTGAGAGAGCTTTGCCTGTCAATCCGTAGGCAGCGCCACCAGCGTTGCCATGCACTCAGCATAGCAACGCTGGTGGCGCTGCCTACGGATTGACAGGCAAAGCTCTCTCAAAACGCTTAATGCTTTTTACCATGCAGTTGGCATTCTGGGTTATAGTAGTGTTTTCTGTGGTAGTACTCAGGTAGGACCTAGACCCGGGACCGATTTACTTTTTTGTTTTGAGGTCCCTGGAGGCCAAAAACACAATCCGTTCAATTCATATATACATTTATATGTGTCATTTACATTTTATGTGTGTGTTTCATATGGGTCCATTAGCATGATAACTCAAACTAAAATTGTCACGACTTTGATGAAACTTGGAACAAATGTGTAAACCTATGTTTGTTCAAACGAGTTCGCAAATCAGCGATATTAGACTATGAAATAGGGGTTTATGGGGGTTTTATGGGGTAAAAATTGGTTTTTCCCATTTTGACCCAAAAAACATAAAATTTAGCAACTTCTTTCCAAACAATTTTGTAGAGCTTAAAAAAAATAAAAAATAATTTAGTATATTGAAGTGTTATTACGCACCTAATGGTTAGGCTACAGAGAAAATTCAAAAAATTTGAAATTTGAAATTCCTATGTTAATCTTTATTGAGAAAATTTTAAACTGCTGTAGTTTGCTTGTTCATTGATCATATTTTGATCAAATTTGGAAAATGCATTCATTTCATACTAAACTATTAAAATTTTACAAAAAAAAACACCTTTTTACCCTCCCTGTTGCAGCAAACCTAAGTACTCGTTAAGCTAATGCTATTTAAATAGGGAATAAATGTGATATTTTTAAGGAGACATTTTAGTGTAAATCCAATCAGGCAATCAGAAATTCGCTTAGTCTGCAGGTTTGCTGCGGCGGGGGTATTTGTGTGTACCACTAGTTTGGCCTATTAACCTATTGGTATTGGTAAAGACAAAACTAATGTTATTGTTTTATTTCCCTGTTCAATTATTTCCTTAATATCAATTTGTATTTGTTTTATTTGCTCTTGGAATGGTTATAGCTTTGCGCGTCTGATATTGACATACAGTGGACTTCCTCTTATCTGGTCTCCTCGGGACCGAGGCCAGTCCGGATAGTGGGTTTTCCGGTTAAGCCGACGTCCCCAAAAACTCGTTAAAACGGACTGTTTACTGTGATATTCGACTTAAATTTAGGAGAGCATTGTATTTAGACACGTGATCACTGGTCTCAAATCTTTCCTATGAGAACAGTCATTTCAGTACCACCCACTTCCTGCCGATCTAGTCCATTTAACCCTTTGGGTGCTAGAAATTCATTTTGGTACTTTACGAAGGATGCCAGAGTTTTTTTACTGGGTATGTCCGAAAAGTGCCAGGCTTTCCATAGGGACGAAGCTTAGTGCGCAAGAATAAAAATCAGTAAAAGTATAAATTTTCATCCCAAAAGTGCCAAGGAACGATATATCATGCCTTGATCGTATGAGAAATCGATTCAAATCATCGTTGTTTTAAAATAACAACCAAGTCAACCAATATGCCCATTAAAACTCACATGATCGAAAGTAGCGCCGGCCAGATATATCGTTGAAATGTATTTTTCGGTAAGACTACCGACGACAATATATCGTTGTGAAGTATTTTTCAAATGTGTTGTGCAAAACGATATCTCGTTGCATGGCACTCAAAGGGTTAAACCAATGTGCTAATAAAAGCTATAAGTGAGGCTGCTAGCTCTGCCTCCTGATTGGATGTTGCCGAGGGACTTACAGTACATAACAAACCTAGGTTAGATGACTCAAAAGGTCGGTTAAAACGGGCAATCCCTACAAGGTAAAAAAAATGATGTGCTTATCATTCGGAATTATATTGAATTATTATTCTTAAGCCATGAATACATTTTACAAAATAAACTACACTTTCTTAACCTAAAACACGGTAAAGTCAAATATTTTCAGTAGAATAAATTATGGTTGTAGGGAAGAGCCAATACAAATTCTTCCAAATCTAACGTAATACAATACCGTACAGAACTTATTGTCGAAATTAAAGATACAAGCAAACATTTTGTTACGAGACATCCTGTAGAGTTTAGCGTATTGTTCACATTGCCGAGAGGTGTTTTTGGCCTCTAGGGACCTCAAAACGAAAAATTGAATCGGTCCCGGGTCCAGGTCTTACCATGAGTACTACGGTAATAGCTTATTCCCTATATGGAAAATTTGCTAAAATGGAATTTATTCTCGTAAATTTCAAGAAATAGAGTCTATGCCACTTCCACTTTAATAATAACATGACTGCCCTCACCTTAATCCTCAACGTCTGCTAACTAATGTACTAATAGTGCTTAATCTCACAGTGTCTTAAAGCAAAAAACGTGCTATAGTGCTTTCATGTATCAGCAACTAATTAATTATATTATAATAAGGAAACCCCAACAGTAAGAGATTCCATGCTTAGCCTAGTAAAACTATTTATTTTCTATAGGCCTAAGGCATATTGCAGCATGGAAGTTATTTACTGAATCCATTTTATATTAAGTCAGGCTCAGCTTAGCTAATATAACCTAACCTAACCTAACCCAACCCAACCTCACTCTTAATTTAATTGTCTTTATTCTTATATTTTTTTACAAAAATAAGGTAATTTTTGTGAAAATGTTTCACACAAACACGAGAATTGTTTGAAGGTATCCAATCTGACCGAAGAATAGCATGAAGCCATTGTTGCTTAAGCGGCGGATCATTTGGAATCATAATAAAACACTGAATGTATCCTTCAGTTTTAATTGAGCTTTCGTAATTACTCTTGCACCCAGGCACAATATTATTTACGACAGATCTGGCATGATGTAGTAACAAGTTCAATGTTATAACTAATTATTTAATGTAGTAGATCCTAAAGCGTGAATAAATAAGTCTGTACGGGACTCCTCCATTCATTGTAATGGTAATGCAATCATGCACTAAGACTCAGATGCGACGTTGGCAGTTCTCGCTCGCTGCGGCCTTGTGTACCAGAAAAGGCTATGGTTTCACCCACTATTTCAGTTGTGCTTGAGTCCAGCACCTCTTGGAGGATTGGTGCAAATTCTTCAATCTTCATTTTTCCCCCACTGTTCTCAATCCTCCACTGATCAACCCTCTTCTTCCATGATGTCTTGAGAGGGTGGAACACCGCCACATCCATAGGTTGGAGGATGTGAATCACATTCGGATATAGGGCAATCAGTTCTATCGAGTTCTTCCGACAGAACTCACTGAGGTGGAAAGTGATGTGAGATGTATGCCTGTCAATTAATAAAATGAAAGGGAGCTGAATTTGGTTGGTGATCAATCATGGGTGGAAAACATTCAAGATGTATTCGAAAAAGGCTTGCATCATTCAGCCAGAGTCGTGTTTTTCCCAAGAAGCTCCAGGTTGGTGGAATGGTTTTGGGAATGGCTGGTGGCATTCTCTGTACAGAATAGTAAATAGTTGTAATGATGACTTAGCCAATACAAATTGTACAATATTTTGTTAATTCTGGCTTAATTAACGATTTGATTTGATTTGATTTGAGAATATACAAGCATAGGTGGCCGAACTTGTCCTGCTGCATTGGCTGTAACCAATACCGTTGCACATTCCTTCTCGTCGTTTCCTGTCCTTTTGTAAACGGTTTGCGCTCCTTTTGCTACAAGAACTTTGCCACCTTTAGGGCTTCGATGAAATGCTGTTTTATCAGCATTATACACCCTGCTAGGTGTTTTTATGGCATCCATCAGGCCTTTAGCATCCAGATATTCACTAACTTCGTCAAACCATGCTGATATTTGGTTTTCTGTTATGTTCCCTCTTGATGCTACGACAGCTTGGGGTGCTCTCAAGCTTATGTCCGGATGCCTCTTAAGGAAGAGGGCCAACCACCTCTCTCCTGGAGCTTTATCGCAAAAGGTATTGGCTGTTGAGCTCTGCAAAAAGTTTGTCAGAACTGGCTAGAAGATGTTCCTTATTAACAGGAAACTTAGCCTTAGCCAAGTCTCTCACCCAGTTAACTAGACGATTTTCTTATTCTGGGCTGAGCATTGATTCCCCCCCCCCCCCCCCCCTAAAGAGCAAAGTTCCGCCGTTTTCCCCAAAATCTTGTCATGGAGCGTCATCTGGGGCACGCCAAATTCTTTTGCCGCTGTGCGGACAGATTTCCCGTTCTTTATGGCTTCAATTACCATAAGAAGTATCTTCCTTATATCGTCGTCTCTTCGGCGGCAGTGGTGTTGAAGGCATGACCTGCAAAGAAGTTCATAATTGAAATAAATGGTAGGTACTTTAAAACTTTAATTCATCACATTAGGATTAATTTTTGTAGGATTGATAAATCAGATCAGCGAGATGATTTTTAGTTATGATATCAGACATATCTATCTTATTATAAATCAACAAAGTTAGCCTAGAGAATTATAATGAATAAGGTTGAGAATAAGTGATATAGCCTATTCCAATTTAGCTGATAGGTAAAGACTAAATTTTGGCCGCCCATGACTCGAGGACTTTCGTGCTAAAATCCGGACACTTAAAAAAGTATTTTATTAGTATGTTAGAAATGTTCAGTTTTGGTTTTACTTTGTTTTATACGATTAGGCCTGATATAGGGCCTATATAAAGTATTAAGTATGGTACTGAAAAACATTAACTTAACCATGTTACCGGTACTTTTAACAGTTAACCCTAGCAGGGGCCAATGTTAGAAGTGGGGAATGGCCAACCCACTTTGGCGATTTTGCAGACATTTTTTAAAAAATCTGTCAAAATTACAAATATGGACTCAACCTATCAATGTTTGTAGGCCTATTCATTTTATTCAGAAAAAGCAGGAGAATCTGAATATATAAATAAAAACTGAATCTGAGTTGGTAACTTTTTTGCAAAATAAAAAAAAATCATAAAAAATTCAAAAATTCTGATTGAAATTTCAAAAGTAAAGTCTTGTTATTATTACAGTATAATTTTTAGACCAAAACCATTATATACATTTTGTAGTAAACTCAATTCCCTACATAGAAATGTATAACACATGGGGGAAATATTTTTTTTACAAATGTTATATGTAAGAAAATGAAGAAAAATCAAATTTTGTCGCATAAGACGAGTAATTGGTAACTCGGAGATAACTCATGTAAGGTAATTAGTGATAATAATACAGTACACATATTCTTGTAGGTCATAAACTAAGGAATACAAATATGTCACATTGTAGGCAGTAAAAAAATGTTGATTACCCGTTTATAATACAAAAAGCCAAAAATTTACCGTTTACATAGAAAAAAATTCAAAGACATTTTTGTAAAATTTTTTTACAGATTTTTGTAGGCCAAACAAATTATAACAATGTTATAGTACATTCAATTTTCTTTATATAAATGTATAACACATGGGGGAAATATTTTTATTTACATGAGTTATGTAAGAAAATACGAAAAATCGCAAGGTTTGTCACGTGAGACGAATAATTAGTAACTAGGAGATAAGATAACTCATGTAAGGTAATTAGTGATAATAATATAGTACACATATTCTTGTAAGTTATAAACTAAGGAATACAAATATGTCACATTGTAGGCAGTAACAAATTTTTTATTACCCGTTTATGATACAAAAAAACTAAAAATTTACCGTTTATGTACAAAGAAATTCAGATATTAGACTTTCCAGTTTATATTCATGCATAAAGATTAGGCCTACTGTTAGGCCTAAAACACATAGACATTACTAACAAAAAACACTACATAACTACAATATCCGAAATGAGAATGATTCCCCATGATTCCCAAGATATTCGCCGATCAATATTTACTTTCAAAACGAGTCAGCTGATCCGCACAAAACAAACAGAGTAACTTGGTCAGATGGCAATTTTCTTTTGTTGCTGACAGAACACGGAAATTACAGTGAGCAGGGCTGCCATTTCTCAACACTAAATTATTCTACGTTTCCTACGCTACAAAAGGATATTATATTTGAATAGTTATAAATATTCCATTATATATATATTTCGACTTTAGAAATGGTCCTTGCGGGACCATTGGCCATTTGTTAATTTTTGTAAAATTACGTGTTTTCTAAAAATCATATATGTTCTTTGCTATCAATGTAGGTATTGATAAAATAATCTATGCCAAAATATTCAGCAACCCTACTGCTATCTAGTGGTATAACTCGCATCCAGATAGGGAACAAACTAACCTAGCTATGATTTTCTAAACTTTATGTGTTTAGCGCTTACCGTACGCAACACTACAAGTGGAAGTAGATTCGCGCGTAAATTTTCATTCAAATTTAAATTGCAATTACGTTGACATATTGACGCTAGAAGGTTCGTTTATATAATAAAATGAAAGTTTAGAATGTCATCTTTCGAATGGTATATGAATTATCCACTTTAGAGATAGTTATCAATTAGTTTTTAGCGTTAAAAAATGTTTGGACATAAATGGTCTCGGCGGGACCATGGCCATTCTAAGGGTGCACGGTGAAATGGTCCCGCCAGGACCATTGGCCACTGCTAGGGTTAACTAGGCCTACACATTTTATCATTAGGGCACTTACCTTCGGTTCTTAGCAGAAATAATATCAGGCATAACAGTTAGCGGCCAAACTAGCGAGACGTGTAGATGGATCTGACGATCTACTTACAACTGCCGGTTTTATTTGGCCTAACGGTCGTTGCTTTTTCCGCCAAAAAACTTACCGTAGCTAAATGCTGAGACATAGATTAAACATCCATAGAGTAACAACAATGGGTAACCTTACTCAATATTTACGGTAGGCTTACCGGTACTGTTGAAGATTAAATGTCAGATTTTTAGTTAGTGGAAAAAGTTTGGTGGATTTACCGTAGGCCTACCTTAAATTATTGAATGAAATAACTTCATCTTAGGCTATCAAACAATATATTCATTAAGTTGTTTTTGGCCCCACTTGATATTCTAACCCCAATAAAGTATCACTTGATTCAATACAGAGACCGATAGCAATAAGTTAGGCTAGTAGGCCTATCGCAACGTCCCTATCCGCTCCAATGGTGCCAAGTTTCGGCGGGATTAGAACTCCCGCTTCGCGGACCAAACAAGTCAATAAATAATAGTTATGCTTATAGCCTAGAGGGTAATCTTAGGCTACGTCAAGGCCTAGGCTCAACCAAAAACTTACCTGAACATCAGCTAGTTCCATAACTTTCCTTGACAGGTCATTGAGAAATAAAGATACATATTGGTCTTTAGGGTTCATGCATATTCGACAAGCAACATTATTTTCAGCGGAATCCGGCATCACGAAAAACAAGAAAATTTGTGCTTACGCACTTGGTAGGTACAGGCTAACTCCTGTTTGGCCACCTTTGTATACAGCACTTAAGTTATGTTAACTTATACTTCCATTTCGAGGATGACAGTAGGCCTACAATCTAATTTAAATTCTATGATCAAGATTAAGGACTACTTTAATTTAAATTGTAATAACGACTAAATAATAAAGCAACATGATGGTTTTGAAGTACGAGCACAGGCACAAAAAGTAAAAACATAAAGAACCGTCTTCATTGCATTCTTTGATTCTTCACGCCTCCATTTTGATTTTGATTAATGTGTTAGTTAAAGTGTATGTGTATTCTTATTCTTTATTTCTTTCTTCTTTGGTAGGATTAGTTTGGTTTGGTATTTGTCTTTTTTAGTTCCTTTTTTTGTAGTCTCGTCTAGCGGTCCGAACACGATAACTTGAGTAATTTTTATCCGATTCTGATGAAATTTGGTTTTCCTACAGTCATCCGACAAAGTTGGCTTCCCTGTACTGTTTATAGTACAGAAAGCTGCTAATTGCTGCATATTTATACTTTGCCGTACGGTTTATACTTTGCCGCACGGTTTATACTTTGCCGCACATCAGGATTCCAACCAAACAACACAAAACAGCGTGGTTTTATTATGCACGTAATCCGTGTACGCTTGGAAATAGGTTGGCAACACTTAAAGATAATAATACTATGAACAGCTGATTGACTATTATAACTACGATTTAACCTGTCATTTCGTGTTTATAGTTTTGGTATTTCTGAACTTTCTGGACTTTTCTTTTAAACGTTTTTAAAACATTCCTACGGTCTTAATAAACAAGAAAATACCTTTAAAGCATTTTTTTTAGGCGCGGAAACCACTTCAAATTACAAAAACATACGGAACTATATTCTCAAAAGATGAAGCACATTTCTTGCCGAGGAAAAATAGCGGAGTGATACGGACCACGGGTACTACTTTCTCCAGGGCACCATTTGTGTAATTGTGTTGCTAGCTGAACCTAAAAACGTGTTGTATAGTGTTTGAAAGACTAATTATTTATGTTTTATAGTGACTGTAGGAAAAATATAATGTGTAACACGAGTGAAAAAGGCCTTTGCTGCGCTCGAGATCATTCGTAAACATTGCTCTCGTGTGCAGCAAAGTGCCACTTTCACCACTAGTTACACAAATAACTATTGAAAGTGTAAAGCTGGGTTTTCCTAGGCGCGGAGTCGGCTAGCGGGGCTAGCGGAGAGAGGAACGCGGAGAGCGGAATTGAAATTAACATGGCATTCCGCTCCGCTTCTAGGAAAATAGTAACATTAAATTGCCTAAAGCACGGGTCACACTAGGCTGGTATCAGCGGCGAATTGAAAGAAGCCGCGGCTGTCAGCTTAATGTGACCACAAAATTCGCAGCTGACACTGAGCTGACTCAGCCTGGATTGGTGAACCGGTGATGCTGGTGCCAGCTGCTGACCACCAGCGGCTGGTGAACAGCCTATAGTCCTCGCCACCCTAAGTTGAGGCAGCCAAAGGCCGCACTAGATATACACCGTGCGGCCTTTGGCTGCCTCAACTTAGGGTGGCGAGGACTATAGTGTGACCCGTGCTTTAGACAAGTGGAGTCCGCTCTCCGCGTTCCTCTCTCCGCTCGCCGATTCCGCGCCTAGGAAACCCCGGCTTAATTAAGGCGGGATAAACTTGAATGAGTTCACGATCCAGCATGATCGGACTATGGGAACAGGGTTTTATGGGGTAAAAATTGGGTTTTCTCACTTTTGACCCTCAAAACACAAAATTTCCCAATTTTTCTCTTAACCTTCTTAAAGAGCTTAAAAAACAAACAATTCAGTATATCAAAGTGTTGTTGTACGTTTATTGATTACGGAGAAAACTAAAAAAAAAATTGTAAATTTAAAATTCTCATGTTATTCTTATATAGAATATTGTAAAATGTTGTAGTTTGCTGGTTTATGGATATCTTTTGATCAAACTTGGCAAATATATTCATTAATACCATAGATAAAACATACTAATACCATAGACTAACCAACACAAGTTTTAGACTAAGGGAGTATGTTTTATCTATGCTAATACTAAGCAATAATTATTTTACTTAAAACACACACTTTATTAGATTCCTTGTAGCAGCAAACCTAGGTACTCGTTAAACCTAATGTTATTTAAATTTGATCAATTGAAAATCAATTCAGCCAAATGGAAATTCGCTTAGACGGCAGGTTTGCTGCGGTGGGGGTATTTTAATAATAATTCTGTACAAAACAACGAAACCTTCCCTGGAGGACTAAAACCCCCCACCATGGCGCTGTGCCGGGACAGCGGAAAAAAAATCGGAACGGAACGCCCGAACTGAGTGAGTGCCAGTGAAGCAGTGGAGTGGAGTGGAGTGAACTCAACTACGAACGACTACGAAACGAAACGAAGTCTACGAACGAACGACTGTCGACTACGGTGGTGGGTGGGTACCACGAATACGATTACTAGAAAAATACCGTGACCGTGACTGACTGGGTACCGTCGGTCAAGGTGGTAGGTGGTTGGGTAATTAACCCTTGCCGACAGACCGCCACCGTCCACCACTGCTCGAGCGAACACCATTACCGCAACGATACTGTCATTAGCCCTAGCCGTGTGTCTCGGTGGTCTAGTGGATAGCGCACCGGGCTGATGTTTTGGAGGTAGCCGGTTCGAAACCCACAGGAGGCATTAACTTTTTGACTCGATTTTTTCATTATCAGCAAGTTTGGTTGGTTTGGTTAGGTTATGATAGTTAAATTTTATATTTAAAAAATTATATAATTGATTTTGAGACATTTATAATTTTATTTCATGAACAGAGCTATTTTTGTTTTTAGTAAACTTTCTTTCATTCAAAATTTTCATTATCAGCAAGTTTGGTTAGTTTGGTTAGGTTATGACAGTTAAAATTAATTTAAATTTAACCTACAAACGACACGTTTTTACAGCGACAGTGATAGAGATAACAATTTCCCACGATCAGTTCGGCTAAGCACGGTGTTATGCGTTCTGCACGGCGCGGTGGTGGGCGGTGACGGTCTGACGGTAAGGTCTCGTGTAGGGTAGGTCACTTTTAAACTAAACCTAACCTAGACCTATCTATGGTGGTGCTTTCGAAGATAACGAGTTAACAAAACATTTAACATTTTAAAACAAGTAAAAAGCTACTCAATGAAAGGTAAACGTAAACAGATCGTGTTAATTGGGAGGAGGGCATAATAACCTTAAGGTGGGTTTATTGTTTATTTATATTAGGCCTAACTTAGTGTACCTAGATAATTCGACTTGTCTGCAACAACAAATCGCAAAATCTTGCCGGATATTGATTGAGCCGTGCTGCTAGTTAGATATTCCGTATTTTGAAACATCTCCGCATCGACATTAATTTGAGGTTTTCCATATTATTTGTACTCTAGTCTATAAGTTAATTGTATTAACCTTAACTTAATAGGTACCGGTAGATGAGTTAGGCTACTTATTGTGGTAGACTACTGGTCTATGTAAACTTATATTATGTGTTAAGCCTTTCAACAAGTGTGAAAACGAAAAGAAAACCTTAAGCACAAGAAGCTCTTGTATCAAGTTTAAAATTAGGGCTGCACTTTACTTTAGGTCCTAAACTCATTTGAATGAAAATAAATAAGGCTGCACTTTACTTGACGTCCTACACTCATTCGATTTTTTTTTTCGATTTGATATTTTCATTTGATATATTGTTTGGTTAGTTAGGTTAGGTTAACCTTACCTAACTAACCAAACGATATATCGAATGAAGCAATCAATATATCGATCGATATTTTCATTCAAATGAGTGTAGGATGTCAAGTAAAGTGCAGCCATAGATAATATCGAAATAATATATTAGGCTGCACTTTACTACACTAACACTAGGACTACTAGACGTCCTACACTCATTCGAATGAAAATATCGATCGATATATCGATTAATTGATTGCTTCATTCGATATATCGTTTGTTTAGTTAGGTAAGGTTAACCTAACCTAACTAACCAAACGATATATCGAATGAAACAATCGAATGAAAATATCGAATCGAAAAAACAATCGAATGAGTGTAGGACGTCAAGTAAAGTGTAGCCATAAATAACTTAACCCTAGATCTGGCGGTCATTTTATTTACCAGTGGCGGGTATATTTTGGCGCTTTTGTAGTGGTATCATATATTTTGCCACAGAACATTTATTTGTGAATATAAGTACACACATATATATATATACTGTTTCAGTGATAAATTTAGAATATAATAATATAAAAATATTTTTTTCTTAGCAATGCGTTTAGGCGTAGTAGCAAAAGGTTTGCAAATTTTTGGATTATGCAAATTTGAAATTTCAAAAGAAACCCACAAGAAAACTACAAAATAATTTTTTTACACATTTTATCTAAATGTAAAGGTTGCGTGAAATATGGTTCCCTACGTAGAAATACCAATGTTTTTTTTAGCGAATTTCCCATATAGGGAATAAGCTATTACCGTAGTACTCATGGTAAGACCTGGACACGAGACCGATTTTTTTTTTCGTTTTGAGGTCCCTAGAGGCCAAAAACACCATCCGTTCAAATTCATATATATATATATATATATATATATATGTCCGTCAGCACGATAACTCGAGCAAAAATGATCCGATTTTGATGAAATTTGGTACAAACGTGTAAACCTACGTTTATTCGAACGAGTTCGCGATCCAGCATGATCGGACCATGGGAACGGGGGTTTACGGGGGGTTTTATGGGGTAAAAATAGGTTTTTCCCATTTTTGACCCAAAAAACATAAAATTTAGCAATTTCTTTCCAAACCATTTTGTAGAGCTTAAAAAAACAAATAATTTAGAATATTGAAGCGTTATTATGCGCCTAATGGTTACGGAGAAATTTCTAAAAAATAGTAAATTTAAAATTCCCATGTTATTCTTATGGAGAATAAGTAAACTGTTGTAGTTTGCTTGTTTATGAACATATTTTGATCAAATTTGGAAAATGTTTTTATTTCTTACTAACTATTAAAATTTTACAAAAAAAAAAAACAGTTTTACCCTCCCTGATGCAGCAAACCTAAGTACTTGTTAAAATAATTATATTTAAATAGGGAATAAATGTTATATTTTTAAGTAGACATTTCAGTGTAAATCCAATCAGTCAAATGGAAATTCGCTTAGTCTGCAGGTTTGCTGCGGCGGGGGTATTTAAATACTCATAAAAATAAAATTATAAAAAAATAAATTCTACATACATATTTTCTTTTTTGAAAAACTACCAAATTTCTTTTAGTCACGTAGGAATTAATAGAATTCATCAAGAAAAAATAAAATGATACTGTATAATAGGTAATAAATGATCTTTTTGAAAATATATAGTTATATTTAGTTGAATTCTAAAATTTCAGAGAAATTTACGTTGAAATGTAAAATTTTGAAGATTTTTTTACAAAAACATAGTTTTTATGACATTTTTAAAAACAAATAAAATTTTTACAATCAACCTTATAGATTCAGAGGGAATTGTAGGGAATTTATTTTAGTTCCAGAATATGTACTAATAATATTGTATACAATTCAATTGACTAATATTGTATACAATTCAATTGACAATCACCAAAAACAGCTGTTTTTGTAGTCAGGTGACCAAAACTTTCCACCACCAAAATCTATTTTGAACTCTCTAGTTTTTCAAACTATGTTTCTTGTTACATAATACTCACTCAATAATGTTTTATGCATGAAAATGAATCCTCAGAATCTCATCTTTCTAATGGTATCAGATTTATTGTGTTTTAAAACGGCTTTCATATTTTAATAATAGAAAAACCCGACCCATGTCCTCTTGGTCTATAATAGACCAGCGCCACTGAGAACTCACGTTTTAGTGGTCGAAAATCGACCAGCGCCAGATAGAGGGTTAATATGAAAATAATATTGATCGATATTTTCATTCGAATGAGTGTAGGACCTAAAGTAAAGTGCAGCCAAAATTAGCTCTGAGAGAAACTCACGAGAAGCTTGACAGAGGTCTGACTGTTTTCTTATTAAAACCAAATTGCACATTGATACCAGTAACTTAAGGCACCCAGAACAACAAACACAAAGAAGACTAAAATCAGTCCAACTGCACAAAGTAATCTTCACATAACACTGCATGAAGCGAATATAAAAAACTAAAGTCCTATAGGCTGGAACAGGTGTCGATTTGTCTGACAGCCGTTTACACACACCAAACAGTCAGTACAACCTCAAAAAATTTATGGCGTTTTGCACCAACCTTTTAATCCACGACTCCAACACCAACAAGATAAAATGTCTTGTTGTTTAAACGATTTGTTGTTGCAGAAAAGTCATTGTTTTTCATCGTAGGTAGTGTGTTTAAACCGGCCTTAATGGTTTGTACTCGTTCACAGCCTCACAGGAGCAGTGTGAACTTTTTGTTCTTTACTGCCACTTTGCCACCCAACTGCACTCACACCTGTGAGCCCAACATGCTAATAGTGACAACTAATGATTAAGACTTAAACATTTAAACTAAAACAATGTGACAATGTTGTTTCACAAATTAGGTTAGTCAACGATTAGGCCTATATACATTCAATCCCGAGCACTTGTTGCGTTTAAATAGGCTTTGGTGTAAAAGATCCAACTTTAGGCTATCATTGGCTAGCCTAGTTTCATAACTGGGAAGGGTGGTGTCATCCTGTAATCCAGCTACTAGGAGATTACGAATCGTGGATATTTAAATAGGCATGCACTGTGGATGCGATACTCCCTGGTGTGGATAAATGTCCGCACGAGTGAATGCTACGACTACCCGCAGTACAATTAGACCAATTCGTATATAAGTTACCAAGGCTAAAATGTGGTTCGGATTCCACTAAAAACTGAAGGTCACTTAGTTGCCATTAGCTGTATGAGCTATTAATAAACAGCTGTGTCCAAGGAATAAGTCGGCCTTTAGTCACTAACAAGACTACAAGATCGCGCCACTCATCTCCATTCATACTTGGCTTAAAATACCTACTTTGTATGGTCGCCATTTCATTGAAAGTATTAAAGTATTAAGTTAACATGGTTTACAGACGAATTTGTAAGGCTTATTATATTATTAATATTATATCCCTATAATATTTCGCCATTTATCTTAACCTTACACCTAGATTCTGATATGCTTGATTTTGATAAGTTTATTAATTTTTGGGGTATTCCATACTTTTCCATAATCTTCCAGAGTCATCTTCTACTAATATGCTTTGGAGAAATCGATAAAAAGGCAGAGAAAGGTTTTATTGAATTCATAGTATTTGGCAATTGCCTCCTTCAGTATGAATATTTGATCGGTAGTTGATCTACCTCTTGTGAAGCCTGCTTGATGTTCACCTATTATATTTGATGTATACTCCTCCAATCTTTTTTGTAAAATCTTTGATAGTATTATTTAGGTGCAGAATATAAGTGTTTATTATTATGTAACTTATTATTTCCATAATGGAAGCAGGGATATTTTTACTGTGCTGGACTGTTATGGCCGATCAATGTATGGTCTTAAAAGTCCTTGGAGCCTAGACGTTCTAACTCATATAACAATTAAATAACTAGGCCTACAAATAAAATTTCTAATCTCACAGTAAACTAGATATTTAAATTACAATCACTTATAAAAAACATTTGACTAAATAACTCATCAGCAGCTGTTTGAAATTAACAAAATTAACATTGCTCTTATGGCGGGCAAATCAAAGATGCCTGTTAGCTTCCTTGAACTCCATTGAAGAACAATTCAAACAAAAATATTAAATCTCGCAGTATACTAGATATTTAAATTATATTTTTTTTATGTTTGAAAAAATACTTTTGGACAATAAATAACTTTTCAGCAGCTGTTTGAAATCATCCAAAATGGCCGCTAGCCTCCAAGGACTCTTAACTGTTAAATCAAAATATCTCTCTCGCTAGGTCGTGTGTGGGAAGTTTATCTGTTTGTGGCAGAGTTTTGTGGGAAAGGCTTACCTAAAGTACCAATTTGGACCTCTTAAATAAAAGGAGACAATCTTGAAATAGTTCTGCTTACCGGTACCTTACCATTTTTTTAATAAAGTTGAAAAGCATTCAACTTGCTTTCTTTTATTTACTCTAGCGGAATACCTTCAATACCACCTTTAGTGGTAGTCAGGTAGTGTGCATAAATCCCAATCATTCCAATGATATTGCTATTTATTCACATGAACTTAAATTCAAAACATATTATAACAAAATAATTTCTTTCTTCAAGGATAAAATACTTTAAATAATAGTTGGCTATATTCTACTCCAAAACAAAATAAATGGGTGGATCTTACTTTTACAAAACACTGCAATTCAATCAGTGGTTAGGCAGACCTGGGCTGTTCTTACTACTACTCATACTTGTTAACACCTCGCCATGGCAGTACATAAGACAATTATTACACCTTGAATCTTGTCTGAAACATTACCCAATATACAAATAAATTGTCTAAACAAGGTCTAACCTGAAAATAACACATGACTAGGTATTTAAATATTCACTCTTTAAACATTATTAAACATTAGTAAAATATTAATCGTTTGTAATACATTCAGACATCAAATAATTACAGTGATTCAGGAATTAATATAGCCACTTATTTAAATATTTCTCAAACAAAATAAAATCAGCAAAATTTAGAGTAAAATCGCTTGAGAACTCAACTGAATTAGGCCTATCACAATACGTTATAAGCCATTCATTGAGAACTAAAACTAAAATCTTTCTTTGACAGAACATAGTGGACCTGTAAAACAGAATTACAAAACATAATTTTCAGCAATACTTAAATATAAAATAAATTAAAATAATTTCGTACCTTGTCGACGAGTTCTCAACAAACTTAGCCCAGTGTTGACCTTCCACTGACCTATCTAAAGGCTAATTTTTAAATTATCAGTGGTACCACAATATAAGGCAAAATACTCTGCAATTCCCCCTCAGTCAACACTGCACTAATAAACTAAGTAAGAAATTAGTACAATATTTCCCTCTTGTGCATAAACAGTATATTGCTTCATTTTTATTTACTATATTTATTCCATGAATAGTACAACAGATTTTTGACTCCTCAGTATTCAAGCACATATAGCCGAGAAGGCTAGGGTGTGTGTCACTTGGCCAGTGGCATTCGTCTGCTCGGGTTCGATTCCCATCCTGTGTGGGAAATAATTGGTGACCTGTGTGTTTGTAGCGATATACTACAACCACTGAACCATAGTGAGGTGTTCATAATCCTTGGCTTAGACATACACCTCGAATCATTGGATTGGGCGAATCTTTTAGCTAAGTGGTTGTTAGTGTATCCAATGAACATGTAGGTCACCAATTGCTGTTATGCTACTTTTTGTTCAAATAACCTTCCTCTCTATATCCCTTAGAGATTTTTAAAAAGAAAGATATATCGTTGCATAGCACTAAAAGGATTAATCGCATGAAAACAAATTAAGATCGATGTTCAGGCATATCCAGATAATCCGAGATGTAATATGTGAAGAACAGTTCTAAACGGTTTCATAACCCTACAAAAAATTAACTAGCGGTAATTAATTTTTTGAAACCAGAATTTAAATTATGTTGAATATTTTTGTTGTAGGTTGAAACATTCAAAGGAATCAAAACAACAGAATATATTTATTTAAGAATTTATATAATACAATAAAATAATACAAAAAGACGAGAGAAAAAGACTTATCACTCAAGTATATTGAAAATAAGCACAGGCAAAGCAAGATTTGACTACGAGAAGATTTAATGTTGAATGAGAGAGGTATCATGTATCCTACAAACAATGTTACTATTTAAAATACATACAAACCACTCTGATTTGTTGAGTTTATTGATTAGTTACTAGATTTATGTGACAAACTACATGGAAATAAAAAGTGCAAGAGTAATAATGTTAACTCACACTAAACATTTTCCCAACTATTTCAAGTGTCCAATATGTGAGCAATACTGTTCAACTCTATCCGCAATGAAGGTTCATATATTATATCACACAGGAGAGCGGCCCTTTAAATGTTTAATATGTGAACAAACGTTTTTGAAACAATATCAAGTAAAGGAACATTCATTGATTCATACAGGAGAGAGACCTTACAAGTGCTCTACATGTGGAAAATCCTTTGCACAAATAAGCAGTATGAAGACACATTCATTGATTCATACAGGAGAGAGACCTTACAAGTGCTCTACATGTGGAAAATCCTTTGCACAAATAAGCAGTATGAAGACACATTCATTGATTCATACAGGAGAGAGACCTTACAAGTGCTCTACATGTGGGAAATCCTTTGCAGAAAAAGTCAATATGAAGACACATACATTGCTTCATACAGGAGAGAGACCTTACAAGTGCTCTACATGTGGAAAATCCTTTGCAGACAAAGGCAATATGAAGAGACATTTATTGCTTCATACAGGAGAGAGACCTTACAAGTGCTCTACATGTGGAAAATCCTTTGCAGACAAAGGCAATATGAAGACACATACATTGCTTCATACAGGAGAGAGACCTTACAAGTGCTCTACATGTGGAAAATCCTTTGCAGACAAAGGCAATATGAAGAGACATTTATTGGTTCATACAGGAGAGAGACCTTATAAGTGCTCTACTTGTGGAAAATCCTTTGCAGATAAAGGCAATATGAAGACACATACATTGGTTCATACAGGAGAGAGACCTTACAAGTGCTCTACATGTGGAAAATCCTTTGCAGATAAAGGCAGTATGAAGACACATACATTGGTTCATACAGGAGAGAGACATTACAAGTGCTCTACATGTGGAAAATCCTTTACAGATAAAGGCAGTATGAAGAGACATTCATTGGTTCATACAGTAGATGGACCTTACAACTGCTCTACATGTGGTAAAACCTTTGCAAACAAAGGCAATATGAAGAGACATTTATTGCTTCATACAGGAGAGAGACCTTACAAGTGCTCTACATGTGGTAAAACCTTTGCAAACAAAAATAATATGAAGAGACATTCATTGGTTCATACAGGAGAGAGGTTCCTTACAAGTGCTCTACATGTGGAAAATCGTTTACAAACAAACGCGATATGAAGAGACATACATTGGTTCATACAGTAGATAGACCTTACAAGTGCTCTACATGTGGTAAAACCTTTGCAACCAAACGCAATATGAAGAGACATTCATTGGTCCATACAGGAGAGAGCCCTTAAAAAGGTGCACTTCATGCAAAAAATCCTTTACAACCAAAAGCGATATGAAGTCACATTCATTGGTTCATACAGGAGAGATTACAAGTGCTCTACATGTGGAAAATCCTTTGCAGACAAAGGCAGTATGAAGACTCATACATTGGTTCATACAGGGGAGAGACCTTATAAGTTTACTAAATGTGAAATATCCTTTACATATAATGCTGTTTTAAAGAACCATATTGCAAGGGTCCATACAGGAGAGATACCTTATAAGTGCACCACATATAGAAAATCCTTTGCTACCAAAAACAAAACGAAGACACATTCATTAGTTCATACAAGGGAGAGACCTTATAAGTGCAATAATTGAATTAAATGAAAAATCCTTTACAACAAACGGCGAAATGAAGATGTGGATCTGGATTGCAATACTAAATATTGTTTTGTATGTTCATTAGAAAATGTACATATACATTGTGAATTCTTTCTGTTGCTCTGGGCTAGTAATTATATAATTTTACTATAGGATATATTGTTTATTTACAGGCTTTATACCTTATTGTAAAGAGGTATTACCATGGAAATCATCGAGTTATTTGGAAAAGTAAAGAAAATCATCAGAGTTGTTTGTTTTACATACCATAATTCACCTGCCAAAGAGGTGAATTGTGTTTTTTATAAGCATTAAGAAATGATAAAGGGACTTAAAAAATTAGTGTGCGGGGATATCAATTTAAATCTAATGAATAATCATTCTCTGTCGCTGACTAAGCTAATTTCCATTTGTAAACTACTGTAAATACTGTAAATACTGTAAACTACTTAAGAAATCATTTTATTAATATGTTAATACTATAGTACGGTATGAAATAAATATATTTTCCAAATTTAATCAAAACCGTCCATAAAAAACTTATCAGCACATATGTTATTCGGCCTGATGACGATTTGAGTAACAAAACGAAATCAATCACTACTACCATCTTTCATGTAATTACCATCTTGTAAAACGGTATTTAAGAATAAATATACATATTTCAAGTGTTATCATGTGTATTTTTATTTACTTTCCATATCCCTAAACAAGCAAATGGTAACAGTTTAATTTCTCTACATAATAACATTTTAAATAAACAGGTTATTTTTTAAATTTCTCTGTAGCCTGTGACTGGTAGAATATTTTAAAGAATAAGTAACAAGCTCTTACTGATCAGATTATGGTATAAATAATATAAAATTGTATAAACAAATAGGTAGAAAACGTAGATAGACCTTCTTCATTTGGGGGGGGGGGGGGGGTATCAGGGGGTCTGGAATAGCCTTCAGGAAATACCCGTCCAGGGGTCCTCCCCCAGAAAAATTAACTTCTCTAAACACTATCTTTAGTCATTTATACATACAATTCATATCTGGTATACTAATAAGCAATGCAATTGTTTAAATTTTTTATTTATGAAATTAGGTTGAGTGTTTCAGTTGTAGGAAGCTTAGTTTTTTATTACATTTGTTTACAAAATACAGTACATAGGCCTTCGATTTATAATCAAATTAATCTTTACGTTTTTTAATCCTTGGGTAAGCCGAGGAATGACCTCTACTGCCATAGCACAAAGACACCCACAATTATCCTGAGTCGCAAACAAGGGAGTCTAAAAATTCAGACAATCTAAATATCGGAACATATTCCTCAAGTTCTGCGGTCGCTGATCGAACCTAATCATCTAAAAATTACCTAAACTCAATTGCTTAGGAAATGTATTATAATGTTGTATTAATAGTCAAAGCTAATATTCGAACCTCAAGCTTTACCCCCTTTAAAGAGGTAAAAAAATCATTTTTCAGGCTAAGTCTAGTGGTTAAAAAAGTGATGTTTTCTCCGCAACGGGGGGTTCGGATTTAAAGGGGTTTGTATTTTTTAGCGGAATTTAATTTTCAATGTTGTGCATGCCGGCAAATCCCTGATTTTGAATGGTTATGATTTTCTTGAGCTTGTAGAAATGATTAAAGTACAGTAGAACTCCAATTATCCAAACTCCAATTAACCGAATCTCCAATTATCCGAATCGCTTATTTCAACAATTTTAAAAACGAAAAGCTACAGTAATAAGTTTTGCAAAATATCAAAGAATTGTCATTAAACACATTTAGCCAATTTTGGACTTTGATGGAACATTATTGACTTAATAACATGTATAGAACACTAGTACTATGAGCATTGTAAACTGTAAAATGTTCTGATTTAAATTATTACTAATTAAAAGTTCACTTAGTACCAAAAATCAGGATTTTCTTTAAAATTCCCGGAATTCCGGTAAAACTCCGATTATCCGAATTTTTGATTATCCGAATGGGGTCTGGTCCCTCATTGATTCGGATAATCGGAGTTCTACTGTATTGTAAATTAATTGTTTAACCCATGCGAACGGATAAATACATGTTTTTAATTAGGTATGATCTTTTCTTAAAAAAAATCTATTTTAATCGCATGAAAACAAATTAAGATTGATGTTTAGGCATAGCCAAATAATCCTAGATATGATACTTTGAAGAACCGTTCTAAATCGTTTCTTTCCCCTACGCAAAATTTATTAGTGGTAATTAATTTGTTCAAAAGTAGAATTTAAATTATATTGAATATTTTTGTTGTAGGTTGAGACAGTCAAAGGAATCAAAACAACAGAATATATTTATTTAAAAATCTATATAATACAATAGAAGAATACAAACACACGAGGGAAAAAGGATTATCACTCAAGTATATTGAAAATAAGCACAGACACAGCAAGATTTGACTACGAGAAGATTTAATGTTGAATGAGACAGGTAGCCTATCATGTATCCTACAGACAATGTTACTATTTAAAATACAACCAACCACTCTGATTTGTTGAGTTTATTGATTAGTTACTAGATTTATGTGATAAGTTACACGGAAATAAAAAGTGCAAGAGTAGAAATGTTAACGCACACTAAACTTTTTCCCAACTATTACAATTGTCCAATATGTGGGCAATGCTGTTCAACTCTATCCGTAATGAAGGTTCATATATTATATCACACGGGAGAGCGTCCCTTCAAATGTTTGATATGTGAAAAAACCTTTTTCAAACAATATCAAGTAAAGACACATTTATTGGTTCATACAGGAGAGAGACCTTACAAGTGCTCTACATGTGGAAAATCCTTTAAAACAAAATTTAAAATGAAGAGACATTCATTGGTTCATACAGAAGAGAGACCTTACGAGTGCCATACATGTGGCAAAACCTTTGCAACCAAAAGCTATAAGAATACACATTCATTAATTCATACAGAAAAGAGACCCTATAAGTGCCGTACATGTGGAAAATCCTTTCGTTGTAATGCAGTTATGAAGGAACATATTGCAATGGTTCATACCGAAGTGAGACCTTATAAGTGCACTACATGTGAAAAATGCTTTAAATCTAAAAGCAATATGAAGAGACATACATTTGTTCATACAGGAGGGAGATCATATAAGTGCTCTGAATGTGAAAAATCCTTTGCAGCTAAAGAAGAAATGAAGGTACATTCTTTTGTTCATACTGGAGAGAGACCTTACAAGTGCTTTTCATGTGAAAAATCCTTCAGATCAAAAACCAGTGTGAAGAGACATTCATTGGTTCATAGTGAAGAGAATCCTTTTAAGTGCACTACATGTGGAAAATGCTTTACATCTAATACAGGAATGAATAGACATGCATTGGTGCATACAGGGGAGAGACCTTACAAGTGTGCTACATGTGGAAAAACTTCTACAAACAAATACAATATGAAGAGGCATTTATTGCTTCATACATGAGATAGATCATATAAGTTCACCACTACTATTTTTTATATTTTAGAATAAATCTGTGAAATAATGTAATGAGGTCAACCCACACAATCTTAACCCAAAAGACAGTTACGTTTCATCGACTTTCCTCGCTAGTTTTACAAATATAAAGGTTATACTTCAACAATGCACTTCATGGGAAATATGGCTGTAGCCTGCCGAATGAGTAACTCATTCAGCTGTGATGTGAAAAAGTAATTTATAGTAAAAATAAAAGTTACCTAACTGTTGGTAAGTTAACCAACATCAACCAAGCTTTGCCTATCAAAATGCCTATCAATTTTTTTATAAGAATCTACAAGCTACTAGTTTTAAACTCGTGTCAGACAAATTCTTTAAAATGGTTTACATCTTGACCTGGGATTACATTAATTATTTTCCTTACAACACATATTTGTAGGTATTTGATGAAAAAGTACTAAATTAATTCAAGGGTCTCTGCAGGAATTCATTTTAACAGTAGGTTGGCAGTCCTGTAATGGAAATATTTAACACTAAGATTACAAATAGTTCATAATGCATTGGATATTAAATCCATTCAGATTACACTAGTGTTCCTCCAATCCAAACTTGATTAGCCTACACCATACCGAAAGCGGTAGACAACATTGTTTGGATTAGATGTTAATGAAGTAATGTGTTACACAATTTAAACAGTCTAGTAATTTTGTCTTAAAACTACAAGTCACTACAGGTCGCTTGTAGCTCCCACAATGATCACAATCATCTACCGTGATTGTTTCTTTTTACCATTCAACAACCTTTAACGAGAACCAACAGACCTGCTGTAATGAATGGACACTTGCCCATAGGCCTCGAGAGCATGAGCACTTGCAAGAGAGCGGTTATTAAAAATTTCCCAGCTCCAAAATAATGAACTTATTACAGCTTACCGTTCCTTATCTTCATAGTTCTCTTACAGTTCTCAGATTCTTAGTGGCTGGATGCCCTAAAGTTTAAGTTAGAGTGTTTCTTTTGTCTTAAATAGGCACAGCCAAGTTTTCTCCTCAACAGGGTGTTTGGATTTGAGGTTTTTGTATTGGTTTGCGGGATTTGATTTTCAAAGTTGTGCATGACGGCAAATCCCTGATTTTGAGTCATAATGATATTCTTGAGCTTGTAGAAATGATTAAAATATTGTAAATTAATTGTTTAATCCATGCGAACGGAATAATGCATGTTTTTTTATCAGGTATAATCTTTTTCAGAAGGGAAAATAGATGATTTCAGACCTATACAGTTATTATCATAGATATAGATTAGTTCTTATAAAAAATAATTTATTTTAATCGCATGAAAACAAATTAACCTCTTGAATCCCACGGGCGTTTATACGCGTCCGTGCAGTAGCCCCGCTGGGAACACACGGGCGCGTATACGCGTCCGCGTGCAGTTTGAATTTGCCGCGCTAACTACGACTGCAGGAAGAAGAATAATATGCCGTGTTTGACACCATTCTATTCGGGGAAAAACGCTGATTCTCGTGGTATATTTTGTTTTGCGCTAGCTCAACATGCATCACTGCTGCGATGTTTAGAAGTTAGAACTCAGCTTCAGCTGACGTTTTGTTGTGTGTTGTGCAATTACGTATGTTGCTAGTTTGTTTGAAAGTAATGAATAATCGTGTCGGAACGTCGTGTTCTCTTCAATATAATGAAATTAGTTTATACTTAGATAATCAAAGGTTGTGTGATATATCGGGAGTGGATTATTACGGCGATTTCAATGACAATATTAGTGTTCAGTGCAGTGATGGTGATGAAGGGTTAGGCCTAACAGTGTATGATGTTGGTATAACCTCAAAACCTGATTCCCGGGTAAGTGGTTCGATTATATTTCACATGATGACACAATAAATATTGATAGTACATGTATTATGTGTTTCTATGTAGGGAAATAAATTCTCTACAAACTGTATATAATGAGTAAGAGTTTTATTTGAATAATATAATTTTTATGATAGTTTAGTTTGAAATATGTTGTAACAATTTTACAAATTTTAACTTTTTTTACTTAAAATTTTTTTTATTCAATATTCTACAAATTTAGTTTGTTATATTATTGCTCTTCAGTTTGTTCTGAACAAAAAAAAATATATATATATATTTATATATATTATCTTAGTTTTTTAATATGTTATAATTTTTTTTAAAAAGGTACGAAAATTAGCAAAACATACCCGGGCTGGGGAAAGTAGCATGACCTAGCTTACTCGGGAGTCAAGAGGTTAAGAATTAAGATTGATGTTCAGGCAACTATCCAGATAATCCCTGATGTAATACTTTGAAGAACTGCTATAAATCGTTTCTTTCCCCTACGCAAAATTAATTAGTGGTAATTAATTTTTGAAACTAGGATTTAAATTATATTGAATATTTTTGTTGTAGGTTGAGACAGTCAAAGGAATCAAAACCACAGAATATATTTATTTAAGAATTTATATAAGACAATAGAAGAATACAAAAAGACAAGAGAAAAAGAATTATCACTCAAGTATATTGAGAATAAGCACAGGCACAGCAAGATTTGACTACGAGAATAAAAAGTGATAAAAAATAAATAAAAAGTGCAAGAGTAGAAATGTTAACTCACACTAAATATTTTCCCAACTATTACAATTGTCCAATATGTGAGCAATGCTTTTCATCTCTATCCGCAATGAAGGTTCATATATTATATCACACGGGAGAGCGGCCCTTTAAATGTTTGATATGTGAAAAAAAATTTTTGAAACAATATGATGTAAAGATACATTTATTGGTTCATACAGGGGAGAGACCTTACACGTGCTCTACATGTGGCAAAACCTTTGCAACCAAAGGTAATATAAAGAAACATTCAGTGGTTCATACAGGAGAGAAATCTTACAAGTGTTGTACATGTGGGAAATCATTTAGGCATAGTGGCACTATGAAGAAACATATTGCAACGGTTCATACTGTGGAGAGACCTTATAAGTGCACTACATGTGGAAAATCATATAAAAGAAAAGACAAACTGAAGATACATTTATTGGTTCATACAGGAGAGAAACCTTACAAGTGCTATACATGTGGAAATTCATTTACAACCAAAAGGGATATGAAGACACATTCATTGGTTCATACAGGACAGATACCCTATAAGTGCACATCATGTGAAAAATTATTCACTTCCAAAAACGGTATGAAAACGCATTCATTGGTTCATACCGGAGAGAGACCTTATAAGTGCACTTCATGTGAAAAATGCTTTAAAACCAAAAACAATATGAAGAGGCATTCATTTGTTCATACAGGAGAGAGACCTTACAAGTGCTCTGTTTGTGAAAAAACTTTTACAAACAAAAACAATATGAAGATACATTCATTGGTTCATACACTGGAGAGACCTTCTTATAAAGGCACTTCATGCGAAAAATCCTTTATAACTAAAGGCTATATGAAGAGGCATTCATTTGTTCATACAGAAGAGAGGCCTTTATAAGTGTACTTCATGGGAAAAAATGTTTACAGACAAAAGCAATGTGGTGAGACATTCATTAGTTTATAAAGAAGACAGACCTTTTAAGTGTACTTAATGTGAAAAAGCCTTTACTACCAAAGGCTAATTGAAGAAACATACAGGGGAGAGACCTTATTAGTGCACTACATGTGGATAATACTTAGCAACTAAAGGTGAAATGAATCAATCCAATCAATACCAACATCAATCAATAATAATCAAGATACAGATTTCAAGGGTTCATACAGGAGAGGAACTTTAAAGTGCAGTTGGTATTATTGAAAACCCACTTTGCATTGAAACACATATCAAGGTACAGTAAATACGGTCCAAATACTTAAGATAGGTCTTATAAGTGCACTACATCATTAAAAAAACTAAATTAAAGCACACAAAGGAAAATTATATTGTATTTAAAATAATTTTAATACATTATGTTGGTTTCTATCAGAGAGTGACCTACAAATTACCCTGATAAAATGGTACAACTGATTCAAGCTATATATGAATGACTGTGGAAAAAGTAATTTTTATGACTTTAATAACACATAATAGGAAAATGTTTCTTATAGCGAAACCATCAGAGGTTATTTGACTTAAAAACATTTTTTGAATGTTTGTCTAAAGATGAGTTTCTGTCCAACAAATACCCAAAGAACTTAACTATTACTTTTATTTCAATTTCTTAGTTTTAGTGAATATCCCATTTAGGGAGTTAGCTATTACCATTTACCGTAGGTTTTATGGTAAGACCTGAACCTCGGACCGAATTACATTTTCGTTTTGATGTCCCCAGAGGCCAAAGACACCATTTGATCAAATTTATTTGTGTCTATTAGCAGGATAACTCGTTTGTGAAAGTTATCAGATTTCAAAGAAATTTGGTACAACGTGTAAACTCACATTTTACGAGTTAGTCAACTAGTGTGATAAGATGATGAGGACAAGGGCTAAAAGGAGGGATTTCTCATTTTGTCCCCCAAACATTCTGCAACTTCTTTTTACACTTGTCTGTAGATCTATTAACATTTTATTCTTGATTTTCATTTTATTTTTAACCAAATTCCCGAAGCTTTGTACTAAGGGACACATTGTATATTTTTGAATTTGAACTGAGGGTGTTTTTGGCCTCTGAGAACCTCAGGTCTTGCCATCAGAGGGACCCACGGTAATAGTTTATTTCCTACATGAGATATCGTTAAAATGACAAATTAACTTGTTAATCATTATTCTGGTGTTCACTTTATTTTGTCTGTGCTTTGGTGCTATTTATTTATTGTTTTTGTATTATAATTTGTAACAATGTAGTAATTGGTTTTTTGTTTAAACCGTTTGTAGCTAATTCAACCTATATTTTATAATTAATACCATGAAATTAATAATTTTATGATCTGCCAACTTTTTTGTCCTAAGACTCTAGGTTCTAGAATGGATCTTCTGCCTACTGGTAGTGTCAAAGATGTAAATGTCCTTCAAGGATTTAATTTTATTTGATATAGTACATATTGTGTTATATATTTTATGATATTAAAGATCTAAGAATGTAGTATGACTTTGACTTGATAAATTGTTGATGTTGTCTTTTTCACATTTGCATAAAAATTGAGAGACAATAACTTATGTATCCTATCCTGGTTAGGAAATAAAAATGTAATTAGTTAACTAAAAAAAAATAGTTTGATTGCAATACTGAATATTGTTCTGTATGTTCATAATAAATCATTAATTGTGAATTCTTTCTGTTTATCTGGGCTAGTAATTGATTAATTTTACTATAGGATATATTGTTTATTTACAGGCTCTATACCTTGCTGTAAAGAGATTTTACCATGGGAATCATCATGCTAATTGGGAAAGTAAAGCCATCATCAGAGTTGTTTTTTTTTACATACCATAATTCACATGCCAATGAGGTGAATTGTGTTTTTTTATTCATTATAAAATGATAAAGGGACTTAAGAAATGAGTGTGTGGGGATTTTAATTTACAACTAATTAATAATAATTTTCTGCCACTGAGTAAGCTAATTTCCATTTGTCTGATTTGATTATTGTAAAATACTTCTGTCATAATTAGTCACTATTTAAGGATTTAGATTTGCTCAACAGAATAAGAAATAGTTTTACTAAAATAATAATACCAAAGTATGGTTTGAGTTTGAAATAAATATTCTTTCCAAATTTAATCAAAATCATCCATAAACAACTTATCAGCACATTATGTTATTTATTCCCCTATTGGTCTGATGACGATTTGAGTAAGCAATCGAAATCAATCACTACTATCATCTTTCATATATTTACCATCTTGTAAAACAGTAGGCCTATTTAAGTATAAATATATACATATTTCAAGTGTTATTAGGTGTATTTTTATTTACTTTCCATATCCCTAAACAAGCAAATAATAACAGTTTAATTTCTCCCCATAGTAAAACTTTATATATAGTCTACAGGTTATTTTTTAAATTTCTCTGTAGTCTTTGGCTGGTAGACTATTTTAAAGAATAAATAACAAACTTTAACAGATAAAATGACAATATAAATAATATACAATTTTATAAACAAATAGGTAGACGTAGATAGATCTTCGTCATTGGGGGGGATATCAGGGGGTCTGAAATAGCCCCCAGGAAGAACCCGTCCAGGGGTACTCCCCCGAAAAAAAATTGTTTAAAAAATAACTTCTCTAACGGATAGACGCACTAAAACAAATCATTCTAGTAAAAGGTTATTTAATTTACAGAGAATAGTTTAGTGTAATCCACTAGATTGAAATCAGAAAAAAACTATTATTACCTAGGTTGCTAGGATAACTAAAATAATAAACAAATGATTAAAATAAATACAGAACATATGGTGTTAGTCGGGGCATAGACATAAAGAATGAAATATAGACTGTCAGCCGTGCTGCGGTTGCCATGGTTACCATAGGTTCCGGCGCACACCGCTGTAGTTTACGTAGCGCGTACGCCGTAACTACGGTGGTGTTCCAAGCGGTGTGCGCCAGAACCTATGGTAACCACAGCACAGCTGACGGTCTATATTTAATTCTTTTTGTCCATGGTCGGGGTCACCATTTCTAGCGGATAGACCAAGGCCACACTAAAAAATCAAATTCATCTTTACGTTTTTTAATCCTTGGGTTGGCCGGTAGAATGACCTCTACTAGCACAATTATCCTGAGTCGTAAACAAGGGAGTCTAAAAATGGAAACAATCCAAATATCGAAACATATTCCTCAAGTTCTGTGGTCGCTGTTCTAACCTAATCACGTAAAAATTACCTAAACTCAATTGCTTAGGAAATGTATTCTTACTAGTTGCTCTACCCGTGCTTCGCTACGGGGTGAGGATACAGAAACGAATAATTCGGTTTTACTTTGAGATACTATAAGAAACAGTTACAACACACATACCAGGAAACATATAGGCAAAGGCTCAATCGTGCTTATTGATTATTCAAATGAAGATCTCTCAATGTATTACAATACTATCATTTTATATAGTGTATAGCATTTAAAATATATATGCTAAAGTATAATTCATTAACCACATGGAACCAAGAAACAATTCTCCTTGTAAACAAATTAAATTAAATAGCAGAACAGCATTTCTGACAACAGCTGAAGTTTCATAACAATGTTTGTTTCCCATGTTAATGTTATGGAGAAATATGAAACTTTAAAGGGCCCCAGGGCCTCATTCTTTAATTATTTAGCTAAAAAGAAAGTTTCCTGCACAACTTCACATTACGCTCTTTCCAATGACACCAAAATCATGTAAATCGGTTCAGTAGTTTCGGAGGAGTAATTGTCACAAAAAACTTGCTTGCGTATTAAATAAGTACTAGAGGTCGCCCAGTGGTCGAAACTCGACCAAAAATATGTAGGTAGGCCTACAGTTGGATTTTCTTTTAGCTAGAAGTGGTTGAGGTACCTATTTACATTCTTTCAAAATGTAAACATGGAAAATTTGCGCATGAGGCGTAGCCCAAGGGAAATATAAAAATTAAATGATATAATATTGCATTGTCATCCATTTGTGAGCTATGTTTCAAATTTCAAGTCTTTAGCTAATCAGGAACTTCATTTAAAATCGATATAAAAATTTTTTGAAAAGCGAGCATGTTTCAAGTTTCAAGTCTCTAGCTCATCGGGAAGTATCAAAATTTGCAAGAAAGCGAGATAATAAAAACAAGCCCATGGGGCGTAGCCCAAAGGAAATATGAAAATTGAATGATATAATGCATTGTCTTCCATTTGTGATTTTCAAGTCTCTAGCTCATCGGGAAGTTAGTATAAAATTGACTGCAACATTTGTACCGGACAAGAAAGCGAGCTAATAAAAACTCTTAAAATAAAAGTTACCTTACCTAACTGTTGGTTAAGTTAACCAACATCAACCAAGCTCTATTAATGTATATAATTTTTTTTATAAGAATCTACAAGCTACTAGTTTTAAACTCGTGTCAGACAAATTCTTTAAAATGGTTTACATCTTGACCTGTGATTACACTAATGATTTTCCCTACAATCCATATTGGTACCTGATGAAAAAGTACTGCATTGATTCAAGAGTCCCTGCAGGAATTCATTTTAACAGTGGGTGGCAGTCCTGTAATGAAAATATGTTACACTAAGGTTACAAATAATTGTTAATGCATTGTATATATTAGATCCATTCCGATTACACTAGTAGTAACCCTCCAATCCAAACTTGATTACACCAAACCCTAAGGGGTAGACAACATTGTTTGGATTAGCTGTTAATGAAGTAAAATCGCGTTAAACAATTTTAACAGTGTAGTAGGCCTACTCTGATGATCTGTTCTCAGATTTTCGTGTTCATGATATACGACAATTATTTGTAAAAACTCTTTTAGTCTTTATTAAGTCAAACAAAAACAACATTTTTACCAATTTGCAGCATAACTATTCTACAAGACATAGAATCAACTTTGGTTACCAATTTCCTAGATTAAATATAACCTCCCTAAAAAGTAACCCGTTTTTTATAGCCCATATCCTATATCGCAATCTTCTGCCACAAATCCTGCAGTAGGCTATGAGGAGAGCAGTGTTCTGGTGTACAAAAGAAAGGTGAGTACATGGCTTGCCAGCATTGGCCGGACAGCTGAATGAATGAATGAATGAAATAATATGTTTATTTTCCACATAATATACAGAATACAAAATACACACTTCTTAACGTTACAATTACAAAATATAAACTAAAACTACAATAAAAAGAAAAAGAAAAATTTCTGTACTAACATAATTGATTTTTCTTTTTAGAAAATCAGCAGACATAGGCAAGAGCTGCCTGTGCGTCCGCTGGGTTGCTAAAAAAAAATTAGTAAGGAAATCATAATGGAAACATTTGAAAATTAAATAATTGTTACTTAAAAAATATTAGTTTAGGGATATACGAATAATAAAATGCATTAAAAATATATAACAAAATGAAATAAAGTTTTAATCAGGTGGGGGCAACGGTTCCTGCTGGCCTAGGGTGGAGGGGGGGGGCAGGGTCGGGTCAAGCGCGCCGGTAATCAGCTGTGATGATAACGTCGGCCTCATCTATACCGAGCCTGAAGAGAAATTCCTTAACTCTTAGTTTGAAAACATTAAGGGAAGGCGATTCAAAAAGCTTATCGTTACTAAAATGAGAACATATATTTCGATAGAGTATATTAGAAATATAGAAAGAGTTCGTTTTAGAGAAAGTATAATTTATTTGAAGTGAAGATATGCCTACTCGTGTGGAGTAACGGGTACTATGAGAGTGAGTTTTTCCTTGAAATATATTAGTATGATTTTTAAAGATGTTTATTAATAAACTCTTAATGAATAACTGTCGAATAGTGAGAATAGACAATTCCTCAAACTACTTTTACAGCTACTGAGGCGCTGGTAAAATCTCCATATAATTAAGCTCATTAGAAGAAAAAAAACGTAAACATGTTAGTAAACTGCTGAGACAGTGGCATTGTAGCTACATCTTTCAGTTGCTAATTTGAATCTTTGGTTACATTTAGAAAATTCTACTCTTAAATTACTTATTGTGGTATTTTGTCCTAATTTGGTACATATTAACTTCTAAATGACGTTTTTATTTAATATTTACTTATTTTTAAGGTATATTCACCCAGAAAATTGTTATACATGTTTTAATTACACAAATAAAATTATTTTATATCCACAAAGTAACAGATATTGTTTTTTTTTACAGATTTAGAACTCTTTTTCCGCACACGGGCTTATGCCTATGCGGAAAAATATATTTCTTTATAATGTGTATCTGTGTATTGTATTGTTTAACTTATGGAAATAAACAATTTGACTTTGAGTATTTTTTTTTTAAATGGTCGCTTGTAGCTCCCATAATGATTACAGTCATCTACCGTGAACTGACACCGTGATTGTTTCATTTTACCATTCAACAACCTTTAAAGACAACCAAATGACTGCTGTTAACGAATGGACACTTGCCCATAGGCTGTTAGTGGTTATTCAAAATTTCCCAGTTCCAAAAAAATGAATGTATTTACAGCTTACAGACCTTTCCTTATCTTCATAGTTCTCTTACATTTCTCAGTTTCTTAGTGGCTGGACACCCTAAAGTTTTAGTTATAGGTGTAATCTTTGGTTATAGTGTTTCTTTGGTCTAAAATAGGCACAGCAAGTTTTCTCCGCGACAGGATACTCGGATTTGAGGTGTTTTCAAAGTTGTGCATGACGGAAAATCCCTGATTTTGAGTCATTTTGATATTCTTGAGCTTGTAGAAATGATTAAAATATTGTAAATTAATTGTTTAACCCATGTGAACGGATTAATACATGTTTTTAATTAGGTATGATCTTTTTCAGAAGAGAAAATAGATGATTTCAGACTTATACAGTTATTGTCATTGATATACATTAGTTCTTATAAAAAGAAATCTATTTTAATCGCATGAAATCAAATTAAGATTGATGTTCAGGCATATCCAGATAATCCCTGATACAATACTTTGAAGAACCGTTCTAAATCGTTTCTTTCCCCTACGCAAAATTAATTAGTGGTAATTAATTTGTTCAAAAGTAGAATTTAAATTATATTGAATATTTTTGTTGTAGGTTGAGACAGTCAAAGGAATCAAAACAACAGAATATATTTATTTAAAAATTTATATAGGACAATAGAAGAATACAAACACACGAGAGAAAAAAAGATTATCACTCAAGTATATTGAAAATAAGCACAGACACAGCAAGATTTGACTACGAGAAGATTCAATGTTGAATGAGAGAGGTATCATGTATCCTACAAACAATATTACTATTTAAAATACATACAAACCACTCTGATTTGTTGAGTTTATTGATTAGTTACTAGATTTATGTGATAAGTTACACGGAAATAAAAAGTGCAAGAGTAGAAATGTTAACTCACACTAAAAATTTTCCCAACTATTACAATTGTCCAATATGTGAGCAATCCTGTTCAACTCTATCCGCAATGAAGGTTCATATACTATATCACACGGGAGAGCGGCCCTTTAAATGTTTGATATGTGAAAAAACCTTTTTCAAACAATATAAAGTAAAGATACATTTATTGGTTCACACAGGAGAGAGACCTTATAAGTGTACTACATGTGGAAAATCCTTTACTTCTAACAGCGATATAAAGAGACATATTGCAAGTGTTCATACAGGAGAGAGACCTTATAAGTGCATTACATGTGGAAAATCCTTTGCAGACAAACGTAATATGAAGAAACATTTATTGCTTCATTCAGGAGAGATACCTTATAAGTGCATTACATGTGGAAAATCCTTTGCAGACAAAGGTAATATGAAGAAACATTCATTGGTTCATACAGGAGAGAGACCTTACAAGTGCTCTACATGTGGAAAATCTTTTACAACCTTAGGCAGTATGAAGACACATTCATTGGTTCATACAGGAGAGAGACCTTACAAGTGCTCTACATGTGGTAAAACCTTTGCATCCAAACGCAATATGAAGAGACATTCATTGGTCCATACAGGAGAGAACCCTGAATAAGGTGCACTTAATCAGTGGTGTAACAAACTTTTACGGGCCCCCCTGCAAACTTATTTTTTGGGCTCCCCTCTCATGAGTTATTTTTAGACCATCGATACAACATAATCAAACGCCCTCCCCCTCCTCCTAGAGTTATTTTTGGACCACCGATACAATGATCAAACAGATTAATCATAAAAAGAGTGGTAAGTAAATTATGAAAAAAATATTAAATTAAAAATTAAAACATTAAATTATGGGTTATGTCATGTCCATAAAGGGGTGTGTTAAGTATTTCAGTCGTGGTTTGATGAAAGTGTTACATCACTACATCATTATATACCTTATTTTCCATCCGTCTATCAGAATGTTTATATCAAGGAGGTTAAAAATTTTACATTTTATAAATTTTTATTACCCTGATAATTAGACTAATTCGTTAATTACAAGGAAAATGTGGTTCGAATTCCCCTGTTAACCCCCTTAGTTGCCTTTTGCTGTATTGGCTAGGCTATTAATTAACATCTGTGTCTATAAATGTCGGACTTAGTCCCTTTCAAAACTAAAAGGTTGGACTACTCATCCTACACTCATCTCCATTAATTCTTGGCTTAAAATACAGTACCTACATTGGTATGGTCGCCGTTTCAAAGTAAAGTATTAAAGTCAAACAATCAATTATTTAAGATGGGGACGCCACTAGTGTGTATTTTAACTCAAATATGACTGAAGGGTGGGAAAGTATTAATTAATTTATTAGGTTAGTTTAATCTTTAGTTATAATTAACTCATACACTAAAAGCTGGTTAATTTAATATATTGACGTACTTTTATCACTGGCTAAAATAGCCCATTGCATTTTTATTTTATCTTTGTATGGATGTCAAGCGTCTTATTACGTTGTAAGCGTTTATCTTAAAACACATGTCTTTAATAGTATGTTTTCTGTGGTATTGGTTAATTGTGAGGTAAAATAAGATATGGGTTAACAAACAAAGTCAGTAGAGTAGCAGTACATTGTATTTAACAACATGCAATCAATATTAGGACAAAACCAAAATGTAAAATAATACAATAATAAAAGCCCCAGCCAACGTTCATGACTCCAGGCTCCAAAGTAACAAAATGTTTGCAGACGACATAAGCAGTATTTCTCGGTGACGAAAGTAAGATTGCATAATAATCAAAGACCCACGTTATAACACGTTAAAATTTGTCACCCTAGTTCGTTATCACTGAAGAGGCCTAACAAAATTAAACGATAACTGATAACAACATATTATTAATAACATCAATGTTTTTACTTGTTCAATACAATTATTGAATTATTGATAATACATTTAAATAAGAATGAACTCCAATTTTTCGGCCCCACTCGTTTCACGGGCCTCTCTGCTCACTGTTTCCCGCCCACCGGTTTGCGGGCCCCCTCAGCTCCCGGGCCCCCCCGCATCGCGGGCCCTGCGGGCCCTTCTGTTACGCCACTGCACTTAATGCATAAACTCCTTTACAACCAAAAGCGATATGAAGACACATTCATTGGTTCATATAGGAGAGAGACCTTACAAGTGCTCTACATGTGGAAAATCCTTTACAACCTTAGACAGAATAAAGAAACATTCATTGGTTCATACAGAAGAGAGACCTTACAAGTGCTCTACATGTGGAAAATCCTTTACAACCTTAGACAGAATAAAGAAACATTCATTTGTTCATACAGGAGAGAGACCGCACAAGTGCTCTACATGTGGAAAATCCTTTACAACCTTAGACAGAATAAAGAAACATTCATTGGTTCATACAGGAGAGAGACCGCACAAGTGCTCTACATGTAGAAAATCCATTACAACCTTAGACAGAATAAAGAAACTTTCATTTGTTCATACAGGAGAGAGACCGCACAAGTGCTCTACATGTGGAAAATCCTTTACAACCTTAGACAGAATAAAGAAACATTCATTTGTTCATACAGGAGAGAGACCGCACAAGTGCTCTACATGTGGAAAATCCTTTACAACCTTAGACAGAATAAAGAAACATTCATTTGTTCATACAGGAGAGAGACCGCACAAGTGCTCTACATGTGGAAAATCCTTTACAACCTTAGACAGAATAAAGAAACATTCATTTGTTCATACAGGAGAGAGACCGCACAAGTGCTCTACATGTGGAAAATCCTTTACAACCTTAGACAGAATAAAGAAACATTCATTTGTTCATACAGGAGAGAGACCGCACAAGTGCTCTACATGTGGAAAATCCTTTACAACCGTAGACAGAATAAAGAAACATTCATTTGTTCATACAGGAGAGAGACCGCACAAGTGCTCTACATGTGGAAAATCCTTTACAACCTTAGACAGAATAAAGAAACATTCATTTGTTCATACAGGAGAGAGACCGCACAAGTGCTCTACATGTGGAAAATCCATTACAACCTTAGACAGAATAAAGAAACTTTCATTGGTTCATACAGGAGAGAGACCGCACAAGTGCTCTACATGTGGAAAGTCCTTTACAACCTTAGGAATTATGAAGAAACATTCATTGGTTCATACAGGAGAGAGACCTTACAAGTTCTCTACATGTGGAAAATCCTTTACAACCAAAAGCGATATGAAGACACATTCATTGGTTCATACAGGGGAGAGACCTTATAAGTTTACTAAATGTGAAATATCCTTTACATATATTGCTGGTATAAAGAGTCATATTGCAAGGGTCCTTACAGGAGAGAGACCTTATAAGTGCACCACATATGGAAAATCCTTTGCTACCAAAAACAAAACGAAGACACATTCATTGGTTCATACAAGGGAGAGACTTAGTGCAATAATTGAATTAAATGAAAAATCCTTTACAGCCAACGACCAAATGAAGATGTGGATGTGGATTGCAATACTGAATATTGTTTTGTATGTTCATTAGAAAATGTACATATACATTGTGAATTCTTTCTGTTGCTCTGGGCTAGTAATTATTTAATTTTACTATAGGATATATTGTTTATTTACAGGCTTTATACCTTATTGTAAAGACGTATTAACATGGAAATCATCGTGTTATTTGGGAAAGTAAAGAAAATCATCAGAGTTGTTTGTTTTACATACCATAATTCACCTGCCAAAGAGTGAATTGTGTTTTATATGCATTAAGAATTGATAAAGAGACTTAAAAAATTAGTGTGCGGGGATATCATTTTAAATCAAATAAATAATCATTCTCTGTCGCTGACTAAGTTAATTTCCATTTGTAAACTACTGTAAATACTGAAAATACTGTAAACTACTTGTACTTTGTGCATTTTAAACTACTTCATAAACTTGTCATAGGTAGTCCCTGAGTGAAAATTTAAAAACGTACGTTTTCATGTCCCTGGCCTTTTACTTCGTAGATACTGGATTTGTAGTTTATTATTATGTGTTTTAATATTTTTTGGGACGGGGGCAACATGTTACACACATTTATTTAGTTTTAAATAGGTTCTAGGTATTTTTTTCGTATTTTTAAAGTCTCGAAATTCACGACCATGACGTGTCCCTAGGGTACATTTTCCAACTTTCACGCTGTTTTTAGACTAATTATTCATGCCGAAATATATAAAGTCATATTTTTATGTTATCAATGGTTATTAAACTTACAAAAAAGGAGTATATTATAATTTTATTGTCATTGCAGACTGACTACCATGACAAAATAAGTCTGTCCCTCGATTTGGCGTCACGACCATTTGGGAAAATTTTTCAACTTTGGAGCAAGACAGTGGCAAGCCTGGCGTCGATGGAGTCAGTTGGTTTTAGAGACTAGTTCGGGGTGTACGTCAGGATTGTAGTGCCGGTCGTTTTGAGTTGAAAGGAGGAATTACAAGATTAATAAAGGAAAGATTGTGTTTTTTGTAATTTTGGTGTGTCCATGACCGTACGTAGTCATTCGATGAAGTAGACAAGGTGTTAATTTTTGTTTATAAGATATTTCAATTGCTAGATCAACCTAGAAGTCCACTTTGTATCCTCGAACATGAGGTGCAGGGCTACCGCCAGAACAGAGCCAAATAACACGTAATTTCACGACCAAAGTTTCACGACCATCGCGGTTTTTTTCACGACCAATCCAGCCTTATGGATTATAGTGAGTTTGGTCGTGACAATAACTTTAATATAATTGTAAATTGAACAGTTTAGTTCAATTGAAACACATAGTTTTACTATAACTAACAGTATAATTGAAGATTGTTTGGAAAGATTTAGATTATTCCAGACAATTCACGACCGTACCGCTTGTCCCTGACCATCACGTTTATGATTTCTATCATAAAAATTTCAAAAATTAAAATATCGTCATATTTCAATGTTTTATACACAAAAGAAGCACACCTCTATACAAACATAACGATTTTTCGGGTCTCAGGTAAGTTTTTTCGGAGTTATACAAACTTAAAAAGATTTTATTGGCTTTTTTCTATTTTTTGAGTTTTTTAAATTTTTTTCTAGAAAGACCAAATATACCAAAAGCTCAGTGACCTTTTTATTGTATAATGGTCATAAAAGTAAATTAGTTTATAGCAAAACATAGTTATAAAAATAATATTAACTATTTTTAATATTCATTTAAACGTCCGTTATGGTCGTGACAGGATTTTGTGTTTTTCTACTAAAGATGCTCTTTAAAAAGAAAACTACCAAAGATATTGCGTTACCATGGAAATTTTATGAAACTTAAAATGTTAATGAAATAAAAATAATAATAAAAGTTTTGAAAAAAGGGGAAAAAAATTTGCAAAGTGCTTTTCCTGAAAACGTACGTTTTTAAATTTTCACTCCCCTATTAAGAATTTAGGTTTCCTCAACAGAATAAGAAATCGTTTTATTAATATGTTAATACTATAGTATGGTATAAAATAAATACAGGGTGAGTTTTAAATGAGTTCCCCCCCCCCTACTTTTTTCTACATTTCTTAAGATATCATCTCCGGACCACGTCAGATCATCGTAGAGTAGTAAGTACTTCATTTTGACTGGGTATACATTTTTGGCCGCCATCTTGGATCCGCCATATTGGATACAAAGTTTTTTTTTCAAATGTAAAGGTAAGGTTGTGACCCATTATTTCAAACAAGAACTTTACTCTGATTACAATGCCGCAATTAGTTTTTAAATATATTGATCCGTTCAAAAGTTATGAGGACTCTTTATACCTTTATTTTTAGCCCATTTTAACATTGTGCATTTACAAACCAAGGCCATAATCTCAAAATTGTATTAGATAAAGATAAGTATACACCACCATTCGTTGTCGAACTATTTTCACTTGGTTATGACGGATATAATTTTTTCGGCCGCCATCTTGGATCCGCCATTTTGAAATGTGACAAATTAATCTAAATATGAAGGTGGTGTTGTGACCCATCATTTTGAGGTACTTTTTTATGCTGAACTCAATGCTGCAATAGGCTTTTCATTTGCATGTTTGGTTTTTGAAATATTGAAATTTTAAATAAGAGAATTTTAATATTTCATCAAGAAAGCTTGATAACCAAAAACGGATTGCGGCATTAAGCTCAGTACAAAAAAGTAGTTCAAAATGATGGGTCACAACACCACCTTCATATTTTAATTAATTGATCACTTTTCAAAATGGCGGATCCAAGATGGCGGCAGAAAAAATTACATCCGTCATAACCAAGTGAAAATAGGTTGCCACGAATGGTGGTGTATACTTATCTTTATCTAGCACTATTTTGAGATTATGGTCTTAGTTTGTAGATGCACAATGTTAAAATGGGCTAAAAATAAAGTTATAAAAAGTCCTCATAACTTAAGAACGGATCAATATTTTTAAAAACAAATTGCGGCATTGTAATCAGCGTAAAATTCTAGTTTTGAAATAATGGGTCACAACCCTACCTTTACATTTGAAAAAAAAAACTTTGTATCCAATATGGCGGATCTAAGATGGCGGCCAAAAATGTATACCCAGTCAAAATGAAGTACTTACTACTCTACATCTACAATGATCTGATGTGGTCCGGAGTTGATATCTTAAGAAATGTAGAAAAAGTAGGGGGGAAACTCATTTAAAACTCACCCTGTATATTTTCCAAATTTAATCAAAACCGTCCATAAAAAACTCATCAGCACATTACGTTATTCGGTCCAATGCCGATTTGAGTAACCAATTGAAATCAATCACTACTACCATCTTTCATGTATCATGTAAAAACGGTATTTAAGAATAAATATACATATTTCAAGGGTTATGATGTGTATTTTTATTTACTTTCCATATCCCTAAAAAGCAAATAGTAACAGTTTAATTTCTCTACATAAACAGGTTATTTTTTAATTTCTCTTTAGCCTGTAACTGGTAGAATATTTTAAAGAATAAGTAACAAGCTCTAACAGATCAAATTATGGTATAAATAATATAAAATTATATAAACAAATAGGTAGAAGACGTAGATAGACCTTCGTCATTGGGGGGGGGGGGGGGGGTATAAGGGCATCTGGCGTCCAGGGGTCCTCCCCTAGAAAAATTAACTTTTCTAAACACTATCTTTAATCATTTATACATAAAATTTATATCTGGTATTTATGAAATTAGATTGAGTGTTTCAGTTGTAGGAAGCTTAGTTTTTTATTACATTTATTTTTAAAATACTGTACATAGGCCTTCGATATATAATCAAATTAATCTTTACGTTTTTTAATCCTTGGGTTAGCCGAGGAATGACCTCTACTGCCATAGCACAAAGACACCCACAATTATCCTGAGTCACAAACAAGGGAGTCTAAAAATGCAGACAATCCAAATATCGGAACATATTTCTCAAGTTCTGTGGTCGCTGATCGAACCTAATCATCTAAAAATTACCTATACTCAATTGCTTATGTAAGGTATTGTTATGTTGTATTAATAGTCAAAGCTAATATTCGAACCTCGAGCTTTACCCCCTTTTATTTAAAGAGGTAAAAAAATCATTTTTCAGGCTATGTCTAGTGGTTAAAATAGTAAAGTTTTCTCCACAACGGGGGTTTCGGATTTGAGGGGTTTGTATTTGTATTGTATGTATTGCTCATGACTATTGGTTAGCGGTATTTAATTTTCAATGTTGTGCATGACGGCAAATCCCTGATTTTGAATCATTATGATTTTCTTGAGCTTGTAGAAATGATTTAAGTATTGTAAATTAACTGTTTAACCCATGCGAACGGATAAATACATGTTTTTAATTAGGTATGATATTTTCCTAAAAAAATATATTTTTAACGCATGAAAACAAATTAAGATTGATGTTCAGGCATATCCAGATAATCCCTGATATGATACTTTGAAGAACCGTTCTAAATCGTTTCTTTCCCCTACGCAAAATTAATTACTAGTAATTAATTTGTTCAAAAGTAGAATTTTAATTATATTGAATATTTTTGTTGTAGGTTGAGAAAGTCAAAGGAATCAAAACAACAGAATATATTTATTTAAAAATTTATATAGGACAATAGAAGAATACAAACACAAGAGAGAAAAAAAGATTATCACTCAAGTATATTGAAAATAAGCACAGACACAGCAAGATTTGACCACGAGAAGATTTAATGTTGAATGAGAGAGGTATCATGTATCCTACAAACAATGTTACTATTTAAAATACATACAAACCACTCTGATTTGTTGAGTTTATTGATTAGTTACTAGATTTTTGTGATAAGTTACACTGAAATAAAAAGTGCAAGACTAGAAATGTTAACTCACATTAAAAATTTTCCCAACTATTACAATTGTCCAATATGTGAGCAATCCTGTTCAACTCTATCCGCAATGAAGGTTCATATACTATATCACACAGGAGAGAGACCTTACAAGTGCTCTACATGTGGAAAATCCTTTACAGATAAAGGCAGTATGAAGAGACATTCATTGGTTCATACAGGAGAGAGACCTTACAAGTGCTCTACATGTGGTAAAACCTTTGCAAACAAAAATAATATGAAGAGACATTCATTGGTTCATTCAGGAGAGAGACCTTACAAGTGCTCTACATGTGGTAAAACCTTTGCAAACAAAAATAATATGAAGAGACATTCATTGGTTCATACAGAAGAGAGACCTTACAAGTGCTCTACATGTGGTAAAACCTTTGCAAACAAAAATAATATGAAGAGACATTCATTGGTTCATACAGGAGAGAGACCTTACAAGTGCTCTACATGTGGAAAATCCTTTACAGATAAAGGTAGTATGAAGAGACATTCATTGGTTCATACAGGAGAGAGACCTTACAAGTGCTCTACATGTGGTAAAACCTTTGCAACCAAACGCAATATGAATAGACATTCATTGGTCCATACTGGAGAGAGCCCTTAAAAAGGTGCACTTCATGCAAATATCCTTTACAACCAAAAGCGATATGAAGACACATTCATTGGTTCATACAGGGGAGAGACCTTGCAAGTGCTCTACATGTGGAAAATCCTTTGCAGATAAAGGCAGTATGAAGAGACATTCATTGGTTCATACAGGAGAGAGACCTTACAAGTGCTCTACTTGTGGAAAATCGTTTACAAACAAACGCGATATGAAGACACATTCATTGGTTCATACAGTAGATAGACCTTACAAGTGCTCTACATGTGGAAAATCCTTTACAACCTTAGCCAATATGAAGAGACATTCATTGGTTCATACAGGAGAGAGACCTTACAAGTGCTCTAAATGTGGAAAATCCTTTGCAGACAAAGGCAGTATGAAGACTCATACATTGGTTCATACAGGGGAGAGACCTTATAAGTTTACTAAATGTAAAATATCCTTTACATATAATGCTGTTTTAAAGAATCATATTGCAAGGGTCCATACAGGAGAGAGACCTTATAAGTGCATACAATCAAACGCGATATGAGGATACATTCATTGGTTCATACAATAGATAGACCTTACAAGTGCTCTACATGTGGTAAAACATTTGCAACCAAATGCAATATGAAGACACATTCATTCGTTCATACGGGAGAGAGACCTTACAAGTGCTCTACATATGGAAAATCCTTTGCTACCAAAAGCAAAACGAAGACACATTCATTGGTTCATACAAGGGAGAGACCTTATAAGTGCAATAATTAAATTAAATGAAAAATCCTTTACAACCAACGGCGAAATGAAGATGTGGATCTGGATTGCAATACTAAATATTGTTTTGTATGTTCATTAGAAAATGTACATATACATTGTGAATTCTTTCTGTTGCTCTGGGCTAGTAATTATATAATTTTACTATAGGATACTAGCTGACCCGGCGAACTTCGTATCGCCTAAGTTATAGGTTTCTCCTAAGACAGACCGACCCGGCAGACGTTGTCTTGCCTTTGACTATTTATAATTTAAGTACCGTTACGTTTAATTTTCAAGATGATCTCGTTCGCATCGCTCAATCACGTCCTGGTTGAAGTTCGTTCGCTACGCTCACTCACCTTTAGGTTGGAGCTCGTTCGCTACGCTCACTCACCTTTAGGTTGGAGCTCGTTCGCTGCGCTCACTTGCCTTCAGGTTAGATGTTCGCATCGCTCAATCACGTCCTGGTTGAAGTTCGTTCACTACGCTCACTCACCTTTGGATTGGAGCTCGTTCGCTACGCTCACTCACCTTTTGGTTGCAAATTAGCTGTTGTCATAAATGTAAAAGAAATAATAGTGCTGCACCCTGTTGGTAATCCTTGTAACTTTAATGCTATTGAACATCATAGAACAGAACCAACTTGTTTAATTGAAACAGCTGTTAAGATTCATTAATTCCATTTCTCATAAGGTTAACATGGGAAACTCCAGAGCCACTGGGGCGGAGCCCTTTTAAGAATTTCGAAACGGGAAATAGTTTACGTCCGATTCGCATACCTACAGAATTTACACACCAAATTTCATAACGATCGGTGAAGTCGTTCCGGAGGAGTTTGCAGACAAACACTGTGACACGAGAATTTTATATATTAGATATTGTTTATTTACAGACTTGATACCTTATTGTAAAGAGGTATTACCATGGAAATCATCAAGTTATTTGGAAAAGTAAAGAAAATCATCAGAGTTGTTTGTTTTACATACCATAATTCACCTGCCAAAGAGGTGAATTGTGTTTTTTATAAGCATTAAGAAATGATAAAGAGACTTAAAAAAATTGTGTGCGGGGATATCAATTTAAATCTAATGAATAATTATTCTCTGTCGCTGACTAAGCTAATTTCCATTTGTGAACTACTGTAAATACTGAAAATACTGTAAATACTGTAAACTACTAGTCACAGAGATAATGCTCTGTGACTACTTGTACTTTGTGCATTATAAACTACTTCAAAAACTTGTCATAGTTAGTCCCTATTAAGAATTTAGGTTTGCTCAACAGAATAAGAAATTGTTTTATTAATATATTAATACTATAGTATGGTATAAAATAAATATATTTTCAAAATTTAATCAAAACCTTCCATAAAAAACTCATCAGCACATTACGTTATTCGGCCTGATGACGATTTGAGTAACAAAACAAAATAAATCACTACTACCATCTTTCATGTATTTACCATCTTTTTAAAAAGTATGAGTTTAAATACATACATATTTCAAGTGTTATTAGGTGTATTTATATTTACTTTCCATATCCCTAAACAAGCAAATAATAACATTTTAGTTTCACTCCATAGTACATTTAATACACTATACCTTTAGATCCACAGGATCAACTGCAAAACGTAGGCTGTCCAAGGTCAGTGAGGACGCCGGAGAACGTGGAGTGAGTGCGACAAGCTGTGCTAACAAGCCCGCATTGTGTATCATGCACTTGCTCCACGTTCTCCGACGTCCTCACTGACCTTGGACGGCCTGTAGGCCTACGTTTTGCAGTTGATCCTGTGGATCTAAAGGTATCCACCCACAATTTGATGGTGTTTCGGGATGGGATAGGTTCCCCACCAGCCACATTAAAATACCTACGAAACTTACGTTGCGTATCAACAACAGAATCGCCACTTTTGAAATACGCCTCAACGACAAACGCGCGATGTATACCGGTCCACTGCTCAATGGCAACTGAAATGGGGGCACTTGGCCTTGAGAATGAGCCGCTGCCCACCCCTCCACTCGGCTGCCGGACTGTACTCGCTTGAAAACCGTCAGATATTTCTGCCGCTCCCTGTATATACAGTTTATTTTTTTAAAAATTTTGTAGCCTGTGACTGGTTCTTATTTTAAGGAATAAGAGCTAACAGATAAAATGACAGTATGAATAATATAAAATTATTTAAACAAATAGGTAGACGTAAATAGACCTTATTCATGAGGGGGTCTGGTTATCTGTCTGTAATAGCCTTCAGTAAAAACCCGTCCAGGGGTCCTCCCCCAGAAAAATTAACTTCTCTAAACACTATCTTTAAGCATTTATATATAAAATTTATATCTGGTATACTAATAATATGCAAAACAATTGTTTAATTTTTTTGTTTAAGAATTCAAGTTGAGTGTTTCAGTTGTTGGAAGCTTAGTTTTTTATTACATTTATTTACAAAATACATAGGTCTTCGATATATAATCAAATTCATCTTTACGTTTTTAATCCTTGGGTTGGCCGGGGGAATCGCCTTTACTGCCATAGCACAAAGACACCCAAAATTATCCTGAGTTGCAAACAAGGGAGTCTAAAATTGCAGACAATCCAAATATCGGAACATATTCCTCAAGTTCTGTGGTCGCTGATCGAACCTAATCATCTAAAAATTACCTAAACTCAATTGCTTATGAAAGGTATTGTTATGTTGTATTAATAGTCAAAGCTAATATTCGACCCTTGAGCTTTATCCCCTTTAAAGAGGTAAAAAAATCATTTTTCAGGCTATGTCTAGTGGTTAAAATAGTGAAGTTTTCTCCGCAACGGGGGTTTCGGATTTGAGGGGTTTGTATTGGTTAGCGGGATTTAATTTTCAATGTTGTGCATGACGGCAAATCCCTGATTTTGAATCATTATGATTTTCTTGAGCTTGTAGAAATGATTTAAGTGTTGTAAATTAACTGTTCAACCCATGCGAACGGATAAATACATGTTTTTAATTAAGTATGATATTTTCCTAAAAAAATATATTTTTAACGCATGAAAACAAATTAAGATTGATGTTCAGGCATATCCAGATAATCCCTGATATGATACTTTGAAGAACCGTTCTAAATCACTTCTTTCCCCTACGCAAAATTAATTACTGGTAATTAATTTGTTCAAACTAGAATTTAAATTATATTGAATATTTTTGTTGTAGGTTGAGACAGTCAAAGGAATCAAAACAACAGAAAATATTTATTTAAGAATTTATATAAGACAATAGAAGAATACAAAAAGACGAGAGAAAAAGAATTATCACTCAAGTGTATTGAAAATAAGCACAGGCACAGCAAGATTTGACTACGAGAAGATTTAATGTTGAATGAGAGATTAGCCTATCATGAGGTTAGCCTACAAACAATGTTACTATTTAAAATACATACAAACCACTCTGATTTGTTGAGTTTATTGATTAGTTACTAGATTTATGTGATAAACTGCATGGAAATAAAAAGTGCAAGAGTAGAAATGTTAACTCACACTAAACATTTTCTCAACTATTACAAGTGTCCAATATGTGAGCAACGCTGTACAACTCTATACACAATGAAGGTTCATATATTACATCACACAGGAGAGCGGCCCTTTAAATGTTTAATATGTGAAAAAACCTTTTTCAAACAAAATCAAGTAAAAGAACATTTATTGGTTCATACAGGAGAGAAACCTTACAAGTGCACTACATGTGGAAAATCCTTTGCACAAATGGGCACTATGAAGACACATACATTGATTCATACAGGAGAGAGACCTTACAAGTGCTCTACATGTGGAAAATCCTTTGCACAAATGGGCACTATGAAGACACATACATTGATTCATACAGGAGAGAGACCTTACAAGTGCTCTACATGTGGAAAATCCTTTGCACAAATGGGCACTATGAAGACACATACATTGATTCATACAGGAGAGAGACCTTACAAGTGCTCTACTTGTGGAAAATCCTTTACAATCAAACACGATATGAAGATACATTCATTGGTTCATACAAAAGATAGACCTTACAAGTGCTCTACATGTGGTAAAACCTTTGCAGTCAAAGGTAATATGAAGAAACATTTATTGGTTCATACAGGAGAGAGACCATACAAGTGCTCTACATGTGGAAAATCCTTTACACAAATAAGCAGTATGAAGACACATTCATTGATTCATACAGGAGAGAGACCTTACAAGTGCTCTACTTGTGGAAAATCCTTTACAATCAAACGCGATATGAAGATACATTCATTGGTTCATACAATAGATAGACCTTACAAGTGCACTACATGTGGAAAATCCTTTGCAGTCAAAGGTAATATGAAGAAACATTTATTGGTTCATACAGGAGAGAGACCTTACAAGTGCTCTACATGTGGTAAAACCTTTGCAGACAAAGGTAATATGAAGACACATTCATTCGTTCATACAGGAGTGAGACCTTATAAGTGCTCTACTTGTGGAAAATCCTTTACAATCAAACGTGATATGAGGATACATTCATTGGTTCATACAATAGATAGACCTTACAAGTGCTCTACATGTGGTAAAACATTTGCAACCAAATGCAATATGAAGAGACATTTATTGGTTCATACAGGAGAGAGACCTTACAAGTGCTCTACATGTGGAAAATCCTTTACAACTAAAAGCTATATGAAGACACATTCATTCGTTCATACGGGAGAGAGACCTTACAAGTGCTCTACATGTGGAAAATCCTTTACAACTAAAAGCTATATGAGGACACATTCATGGGTCCATACAGGAGAGAGGCCTTATAAGTGCAATAATTGAATTAAATGAAAAATCCTTTACAACCAACGGCGAAATGAAGATGTGGATCTGGATTGCATTACTGAATATTGTTTTGTATGTTCATTAGAAAATATACATATACATTGTGAATTCTTTCTGTTGCTCTGGGCTAGTAATTATATAATTTTATTTTACTATAGGATATATTGTTTATTTACAGGCTTTATACCTTATTGTAAAGAGGTATTTAAATGGAAATCATCGAGTTATTTGGAAAAGTAAAGAAAATCATCAGAGTTGTTTGTTTTACATACCATAATTCACCTGCCAAAGAAGTGAATTGTGTTTTTTATAAGCATTAAGAAATGATAAAGAGACTTAAAAAATTTGTGTGCGGGGATATCAATTTAAATCTAATAAATAATCATTCTCTGTCGCTGACTAAGCTAATTTCCATTTGTGAACTACTGTAAATACTGAAAATACTGTAAATACTGTAAACTACTAGTCACAGAGCATATGCTGTGTGACTACTTGTACTTTGTGCATTATAAACTACTTCATAAACTTGTCATAGTTAGTCCCTATCAAGAATTTAGGTTTCCTCAACAGAATAAGAAATCATTTTATTAATATGTTAATTACTATAGTATGGTATGAAATAAATATATTTTCAAATTTAATCAAAACCGTCAATAAAAAACTTATCAGCACATTACGTTATTCGGCCTGATGACGATTTGAGTAACAAAACAAAATCAATCACTACTACCATCTTTCATGTATTTACCATCTTGTTAAAAAGTATGAGTTTAAATACATACATATTTCAAGTGTTATTAGGTGTATTTATATTTACTTTCCATATCCCTAAACAAGCAAATAATAACATTTTAGTTTCACTCCATAGTACATTTAATACACTATACCTTTAGATCCATAGGATCAACTGCAAAACGTAGGCCGTCCAAGGTCAGTGAGGACGCCGGAGAACGTGGAGTGAGTGCGACAAGCTGTGCTAACAAGCCCGCATTGTGTATCATGCACTTGCTCCACGTTCTCCGACGTCCTCACTGACCTTGGACAGCCTGTAGGCCTACGTTTTGCAGTTGATCCTGTGGATCTAAAGGTATCCACCCACAATTTGATGGTGTTTCGGGATGGGATAGATTCCCCACCAGCCACATTAAAATACCTACGAAACTTACGTTGCGTATCAACAACAGAATCGCCACTTTTGAAATACGCCTCAACGACAAACGCGCGATGTATACCGGTCCACTGCTCAATGGCAACTGAAATGGGGGCACTTGGCCTTGAGAATGAGCCGCTGCCCACCCCTCCACTCAGGCTGCCGGACTGTACTCGCTTGAAAACCGTCAGATATTTCTGCCGCTCCCTGTATATACAGTTTATTTTTTTAAAAATTTTGTAGCCTGTGACTGGTTCTTATTTTAAGGAATAAGAGCTAACAGATAAAATGACAGTATGAATAATATAAAATTATTTAAACAAATAGGTAGACGTAAATAGACCTTATTCATGAGGGGGTCTGGTTATCTGTCTGTAATAGCCTTCAGTAAAAACCCGTCCAGGGGTCCTCCCCCAGAAAAATTAACTTCTCTAAACACTATCTTTAAGCATTTATATATAAAATTTATATCTGGTATACTAATAATATGCAATACAATTGTTTAATTTTTTTGTTTATGAATTCAAGTTGAGTGTTTCAGTTGTTGGAAGCTTAGTTTTTTATTACATTTATTTACAAAATACATAGGTCTTCGATATATAATCAAATTCATCTTTACGTTTTTAATCCTTGGGTTGGCCGGGGGAATCGCCTTTACTGCCATAGCACAAAGACACCCAAAATTATCCTGAGTTGCAAACAAGGGAGTCTAAAATTGCAGACAATCCAAATATCGGAACATATTCCTCAAGTTCTGTGGTCGCTGATCGAACCTAATCATCTAAAAATTACCTAAACTCAATTGCTTATGAAAGGTATTGTTATGTTGTATTAATAGTCAAAGCTAATATTCGACCCTTGAGCTTTATCCCCTTTAAAGAGGTAAAAAAATCATTTTTCAGGCTATGTCTAGTGGTTAAAATAGTGAAGTTTTCTCCGCAACGGGGGTTTCGGATTTGAGGGGTTTGTATTGGTTAGCGGGATTTAATTTTCAATGTTGTGCATGACGGCAAATCCCTGATTTTGAATCATTATGATTTTCTTGAGCTTGTAGAAATGATTTAAGTGTTGTAAATTAACTGTTCAACCCATGCGAACGGATAAATACATGTTTTTAATTAAGTATGATATTTTCCTAAAAAAATATATTTTTAACGCATGAAAACAAATTAAGATTGATGTTCAGGCATATCCAGATAATCCCTGATATGATACTTTGAAGAACCGTTCTAAATCACTTCTTTCCCCTACGCAAAATTAATTACTGGTAATTAATTTGTTCAAACTAGAATTTAAATTATATTGAATATTTTTGTTGTAGGTTGAGACAGTCAAAGGAATCAAAACAACAGAAAATATTTATTTAAGAATTTATATAAGACAATAGAAGAATACAAAAAGACAAGAGAAAAAGAATTATCACTCAAGTGTATTGAAAATAAGCACAGGCACAGCAAGATTTGACTACGAGAAGATTTAATGTTGAATGAGAGATTAGCCTATCATGAGGTTAGCCTACAAACAATGTTACTATTTAAAATACATACAAACCACTCTGATTTGTTGAGTTTATTGATTAGTTACTAGATTTATGTGATAAACTACATGGAAATAAAAAGTGCAAGAGTAGAAATGTTAACTCACACTAAACATTTTCTCAACTATTACAAGTGTCCAATATGTGAGCAACGCTGTACAACTCTATACACAATGAAGGTTCATATATTACATCACACAGGAGAGCGGCCCTTTAAATGTTTAATATGTGAAAAAACCTTTTTCAAACAATATCAAGTAAAGATACATTTATTGGTTCACACAGGAGAGAGACCTTACAAATGCTCTTCATGTGGTATAACCTCTGCAACCAAAGGTAATATAAAGAAACATTCATTGATTCATACAGGAGAGAGACCTTACAAGTGCTCTACATGTGGAAAATCCTTTGCACAAATAAGCTGTATGAAGACACATTCATTGCTTCATACAGGAGAGAGACCTTACAAGTGCTCTACATGTGGTAAAACCTTTGCATTCAAAAGAAATATGAAGAATCATTCATTGGTTCATACAGGAGAGAGACCTTACAAGTGTTCTACATGTGGAAAATCCTTTGCAGACAAAGGTAATATGAAGAAACATTTATTGATTCATACAGGAGAGAGGCGTTACAAGTGCTCTACATGTGGTAAAACCTTTGCATTCAAAAGAAATATGAAGAAACATTCATTGGTTCATACAGGAGAGAGACCTTACAAGTGCTCTACATGTGGAAAATCCTTTGCAGACAAATGTAATATGAAGAAACATTTATTGGTTCATACAGGAGAGAGGCGTTACAAATGCTCTACATGTGGAAAATCTGTTACAACCTTAGGCAGTATGAAGACACATTCATTGGTTCATACTGGAGAGAGACCTTACAAGTGCTCTTCATGTGGAAAATCCTTTACAACCTTATCTAATATGAAGAAACATTCATTGGTTCATACTGGAGAGAGACCTTACAAGTGCTCTTCATGTGGAAAATCCTTTACAGCCTTAGGTAATATGAAGAAACATTCATTGGTTCATACATGAGAGAGACCTTATAATTGCTCTACATGTGGATCATTAACAAACTTAGGCAGTATGAAGAGACATACATTGGTTCATACACGGGAGAGACCTTATAAGTGCTCTACATGTGGATCATTTACAACCTTAGGCAGTATGAAGAGACATACATTGGTTCATAGACGAGAGAGACCTTATAAGTGCTCTACATGTGGATCATTAACAACCTTAGGCTGTATGAAGAGACATACATTGGTTCATACAGGAGAAAGACCTTACAAGTGCTCTACATGTGGATCATTTACAACCTTAGGCAGTATGAAGAGACATACATTGGTTCATAGACGGGAGAGACCTTATAAGTGCTCTACATGTGGATCATTTACAACCTTAGGCTGTATGAAGAGACATACATTGGTTCATACAGGGGAGAGGCCTTACAAGTGCAAGAATTTAATTTAAAAAAATGAAAAACCCTTTACAACCAACGGCAAAATGAAGATGTGGATCTAGATTGCAATACTGAATATTGTTTCGTATTTTCATTACAATATGTACATAATATACTAGTTATTGTGAATTCATTCTGTTGCTCTGGGCTAGTAATTATCTTATATATTAAAAAAAATTGGTTTTTCTTTTCCGAGTTCGTTTGGCTCTTCTACCCGACCGATTTTCATGATTGAGGTTTCAAGTTGAAGGTATGCACGCACAGATTTGCCATCAAGCATCGGCGTTGAATTATCTTTAGTCTCACTCGGTTTATACGTAAACGAATATTGCTCTCTATGTGTTTCTTATGGGAGTTAAATTTGGTTTCTCTTTGCCGAGTTTGTTTAGCTCTTCTACCCGACCGATTTTCATGATTGAGGTCTCAAATTGAAGGTATGCACGCACAGATTTGCCATCAAGCATCGGCATATAATTATCTATAGTCTCACTCCAATAAGTCAAATTTAGTCGGGGTGCACTTCATTTTGCCTGATCTTACAACTAAAAAATGTTATAAATTTGGGTTATTTGTAGTCCTAGTCCTTGGTATGGTTTGATAGGGAATTACAAATGCTAATTTACAATTGACATTTTTTTATAAAATTATCCATTTTTGACTTATTTAAGCTACAAAAATTAAACGGCAGCCATTTTCAATTTTATAATCGGACCAACTTTTTTTTTATACTGTAATAGTTTTTGTGTACATTAACATTCTTACCAAGTATCATAATCATCGGGTGAAAAACTTCAAATATAAACAAATGACAGATATCTAGGTAAATATGCATTTTCTGATATAACTTCAAATAATAAACTTTTTTCTTCCTTTTAATATGAGGATTCATATCCCAAAGTCCTGAAACGTTTTTTATGGACACCTTGTATATATTTGAATTCCTTATTAAATTCTGAATCACTTGGTGCATTGCAAGTCCCATGCATCTATGATTTTTTTGCTTAAGTCATAGGACTTTGAAATTTTGTTATGAAAAAGGTTCATTTTGAGAAAAACAGAAAAACTATTCTGAAAATTACAAATATGCATTAAACAGTTTTTTCGTATTTAAGGAACGATTTTGGTATCAATAGAAAGCTTATAATGTCCTCTTTGGAGGCAATACTAATTTTTGTCTTAACTCACGGTAGTTTTTTATTTAAATAATTGTTTTATTGAAGCATGTTGTAAAAATCACATTTCAGAAAAGGGACCTCTTGTCAGCCCTATTTTATTTCTCCATAAGATAAAAAAAGGTACCTCTTGTCGGGACCGCAACATTTATGAGATATTTTGTTCTTCGTAAACTGAACTATGTTGTAGTTCTCTAAATTTCCAAAAGAATGCAGGACATTTCATTTTTTGGACTAAAGTCGGTTTATAAAGTGAATATTAGAAATGGGACCTCTTGTTATGGCGAAATAACATTGAGCGACAAGAT